TTGCTTTGAACTCAATATCTTGTAGTTGAATTGCCTCTATGTAATTTAGCATTCTTTCTGAGGCTTCCTCCTTTCCCTTCATTTGGGGATTGTTTCTTTGTCTTCTCATTGTTCGTGAGACTCTTCTTGTTAGCCTTTGTTTCTTAAATTGATCTGTTCTGGCTCCCTGGGTTTATGATGTGAACTTCTGTGGTAGAATAACTGTGAGATTCAGTGGTACAGTCTCATTCAGATATCCTGGTGCTCACAGCTTCCACCTACTCTTTTGTGTGTTCAGTTGGAGGGGAAAGGCAAAATTGTTTAAGACCGCAAGAGAGTATTCTGTGATATTTACAGTAGCAGCCAGTAGAGAAGAGATGGGATATCCTTTGGCTACTTATAGTATTGACCGTGATCTTCCACCCCACTCTCCACTCTTTAGAAAGGATGGAAAGAATATAAGACTGTTGCTGGGGAGGAAAGGATTGTGAGTTGGATCTATAAAGCAGTGAGCTTGTGGGAGGTCAGATTCTGAGGTAGGATGAGAGTAAAGAATAATAGATATGTGTAGTGTGTGAGCGAATAGAGTTAACCATTACAGTAATAGAGTTGGGGAAACTGTGAAGTGGGCTGAGATCTGGGAGGGGTGTTGTGTTGTATTTACAATTATATGGAATAGGTCTTATTTACAGTAATATTAGAGCAACAATCATATGACAGAATCTATGAGATATAAATAACAAGATTAAGGAGTATAGAACCTTGAGTAGTGTACTAATGGAACACAAATGAAGGGTAGTAAATTAGCAATACACTATGAATTAGATAACAGGGGAAACCTATCAAAAGATACATTATAACCTGCCAAGCATAGAAGACTAGACAGAAAGAAGAGGAATACCAAAATACTATTAAAATAAAAAATGTAAGAATAATGAAAAGAGATAATACAAATATGCAATAACTTACAGGTTCAAAAAAACAGGAAAAAGAGCAGAAGATGGAATGAAGAAGAGATAAATTTGGATAGGAAGGAGTAACTAGAGTGAAAGAAAGAGAAGCATAAGGAATTGAGAGATATAAAAATAATAATTAAAAAATAAAAAGTTACTAAAAAAGAGGAAAACAAACAAACAAACAAACAAACAAACAAAAAACCTCTTGTTCATTTCTAACTGGCTAAACCAGTTTTTCTGATCTTGCTGGCTTCAGCAGGCTGAGAGGTGATTGGAGTCCCTTCCCAGTCAGAACACAGACTCTTGTGTACTGTTCCCAGTGCTAGCCACATGTTCTCCCCAGAACCGGTCTGGTGCCTCTCCACATGGCCCTGTGTGTGGATCTGGATGCTCCTAAGCATGCTCTCCAGAGTTCACTGCCTCAGGCTCTGGTATCCGATGAAGCCCCATGCCTTTTCAAGGTTCACAGTGTTGGCTCTGGGGATTCTGAGGGGCATGCACTTCCCCAGTTTCTCAGTCATGGGCACTGGGGATCCTATGGAACACCTGTGCTTTTTCTGTGTTCAGGGTTGTGGGGTCTGGGTCTTCCACTAAACCACACTCTCTACAGGTTGGGAGTTTGAGCACATGGCCATGCTGCACTTGAATGCACAGGCTGGGGTGCACACTCTTCCCAGGGGTATGCGTGGATGTTCACAGCCCCTGTGTGATTGTCTCTCAGTCCTCACTCCCCTCTCGGTGCCTTCAAGTAATGAGGCCTCCCCTGGTGTTGCTCAATTCTTGTTTGGCTGGGGAGGGAGTGGTTGACCCAGCTCTCTCCAGAGTGCCCTGAGGCAGACTCAGGAGTGCTGGGCCTGGGGCTGCAACCTCCCTGGTCTCCATGCTGATCCCTGGGCCCTTATTATCCTGAAGCAGTCTCCTTACCATCTGGTTTTTCAATGTCCGCTATAATTTTTTTATCTTCTATTTTCATAAATGTTGTGATATTCTTGGCTTTTTGTTCTGTTTCTCTGTAGATTGGTTAGTTTTTCTCCTGTGTGTAGGTGGAAGTAAAATCTGCTCCCTCTTACCACACCACTATCTTCTTCCTCCCAATCCTTTGTATTTTTGTGGTATCAGCTCTAATCTGTCCTCTTTCATTTCTGATTGTGTTTATTTGGGTTGTCTCTTTTTTTCTTGATGAGTTTACTTAAAGGTTTGTCAATTTTGTTTATCTTTTCAAAGAACCAGCTCTTGGATTTATTGATCCTTAGAATTCTTCCTTTAGTCTCTATAACATATAATTCTGCTGTGATATTGGTTATTTCTTTGTAACTTGCTCTTGGCTCTTTGTTGTTCCCCTAGTTCTTGGAGCTGTAGGGTTAGGTGTTTATTTGAAATGTTTCTATCTTTTTTAGGTAGGCTTGCATTTCTATGAACTTTCCCCTCAGGACTACCTTTGCTATGTCCCACAAATTTTGGATTGCTGTGAATTCATTTTCATTTGTTTCCAGAAGCATTTTGATGTCTTCCTTGATCTCATTCTTGATCTATTCATTGTTTAGTAGCATGCTATTCAATCTCCATGACTTTGAATGTTTTTGAGTTTTTTTTTTCTTTAGGTCAGTTTCTAGTTTCATTCCTTTGTGGTCAGAGAAAATGCTTGATATGATTTCAATTTTCTTGCATTTGTTGAGGCTTTTTTGTGTGTCCTATAATGTAGTTTATCTTTGAAAATGTTCTATGTGCATTTCAAAAGAATGTGTATTTTGCTTCTTTGGCATGAAAGGTTCTCTCTCTCTCTCTCTCTCTCTCTCTCTCTCTCTCTCTCTCTGTGTGCGTGTGTGTGTGTGTGTGTGTGTTATATACATATATATGTGTATATATTTGTGTGTGTGTGTGTGTGTGTGTGTGTGTATAATCAGTTAAGTCCATTTGATCTAGAACATTGTTCAATGCTGCAATATCTTTATTGATATTTTGGTTGGAAGATTTATCTATTTTTGACAGTGGGGTATTAAAATCCCCTACTCTAATTGTGTTGCTGTCAATATCTTTCTTGAAGTCCCCAAGATTTTCCTTACATATTTGGGTGCCCCTATGTTGAGTGTATATATATTTATAATATTTATGTCTTTTTGATGGATTCTTCCCTTGAATATTTTGAATTGTCCTTCTGGATCTTTTTTATGGCCTCTTTTTTTAAGTCTATTTTGTGTGATATGAGTATTGTTATATGGCTTCTTTTCCTGTCTTTTTAAAAAAAATCTCTGTGGGGAATGAGAAAGAGAGGGAAAGACATACCAATGTGTGATTGCTTCTCGCACACCCCATACTGGAGACCTGGCCCCACAACCCAGGCATGTGCTTTGACTGAGAATTGAACCAGTAGCCCTTTGGTTTACAGGCTAGTACTCAATCCACTGAGCTATACCTGTCAGGGTAGTAAATAACATTTAAATGATAAAAGGAAATAACAGAGGTTCTTTCAGGATGGTACCCTCTTGCAGGGTCCTTTTGTGCATTACAGGTTTCAGATATCATATTCGTTCACATCATCTGTGAAGCTTGCTGGTTAATATGAACCTTTCAAAAACAATTTCATGGAGGGCTTTGTATTCATCTCTCAGCCCCAAGGGTCTCTCTTTCTCTTATTTCAGGACCCTCTTCTTCCCAGAACACCTAGATACTTGAGTGTTGTGGGCAATGAAATGGTACCCATTAGTGTATAGAATAGAATGACAAAAACAACAACAACAGCAACAACAACTCATGACTCTGTAAACACAGAACCAGCTCAGACTGGCCCTATCCTGTTTCATACAAGATACTGAGTCATTTTTCAGAAACAACACATCAAAATTGCAAGTCATGCAGCAGAGGAAAAATGTTGCAAATTATACCTGGAGCCAAAGTCTACTTCCCCCCACAACAAGACCAAAGGACAGGGACATGACCAAAACCTGAAAGCGTTCCAGCTTTTGGTATCCATTGTGCAGAAAGATCCATTGTCCAGCTGACCTCTTAATTCATGCCCCAAACCCTAGGTCTAGGAGATTGAGCCCTGCATTGCCTCCTGTCTCTTTGCTGGTGACTTCATAATAAAGCTTTTTTCTTCTCTAAAAAGCTTGTGCCACAGTATATTGGCTTTAAGTACATTGGACAGTGAGTCCTTTCTTGGTGACAGCTCCATCACCCAGTTGTATCTTAGTTTCTATAAACACCTCTGAGCAAATGCTCCTTTTTTGCTCACTCCTCCCTTCTATTGCTCCTGTGAGCATACTTGCTCTCTTAGTGAATTGAAGTTTTAGTAAAAGTAACTCATATTAAATCAGAGGTTACTTTTGCTCAGAGTTCATGCAGCCAGTCTGCTGTGCCCAAACTGACTGCACCTCTGATTGTGGAGGCAGTGGTCATTCTTTTGGCCCCATCCATGGCCCTCACACTAATATCTTCCTAGCTGTCTATCTGAACCCTAATAACTGCTTTCACAGGCATAATATCTACAAATTACTGCTTCATCCCTGTGATGTTGTTGTATCACTCCCATTTCCCAGATGAATAAACTGAGGCTCAGAGTGAGCAGGGTACTTCTCTGGAGTAACAGAACTAGAATTCAAACTCATAGCCTTCAATTTCAAAGGTTAGTCACTTTTCTATTTGATCCTTGGCTACTTCATTTTAGGTAAAAATGACACAACTTGCCTTTTCTTTTGGGTTTTCACTTGGGTCCCAACCCTATCCTTCCCCTTTGTAATTTTGTCCCATTCTTCTCTAGTGTCTCTCAAACTCCAGCTGTACATGCTTCACCATCATTTTCTTTTTTGCTATAATCAACTGTTACCTGTACTCTTATCTCATTTTTATTTGATTCCTTTAAAAATTAAATAAAAAACAAATTACATTAATTATCTAAATGAATCTGTGCCTCTGTTACAATTTAAAAAATAAATTTAATTGCCACCACAGGAAAAAAAAACAAAAAAAATGAATTCAATGAGAGCACAAATTGTTAGTTTTTAAAAAGATTTTAGCTATTTATTTTTAGAGAGAGGGGAAGATAGGTAGAAGGAGAGGGACAGAAACATCAATATGAGACAGAAACATTGATCTGTTGCCTCTTGTATGTGTCCTGACTGGGGACCAAACCTGCAACCCATACATATACCCTGACCAGTAATCGAACTGGTAACCTTTCGCTTTGTGGAACAATGCCTAACCAAGTAAGCCTATGTGGAGGTCCTGTTCAAAGGGTGAGATGGGGAACCATAGCCTTTTAGTTCTTTCCTAAAATCCAATTTTCAACTTGATTTGGTTACTGTTGGTTCATCTGTCCATCTGTGGGAGTAATAATAAGTTTTTCCACTCCTCCTTCTTATCCTTGTCTTCCATTATTTTTGTTTATTAGTTTCTATTTTATCAATTTCTTCCTTTTCTTTTCCCTCCCTCCCTTCCTTCCTTCCTTCTTTACTCTCTCCTTCTTTCTTTCTCTTTTTTTCTGTACAATTCATTTTATCTTTCCTCCCTACCTCCATCCCAGCTTCCTTCCTTCTTTTCTTAATTGCTTCTTTATACTTCTCTGTCTCATTTTATTTCTTTTTTTTCCCATTATCCTCTCCTTTCCTCACTCCAAATCCTGCCCTCCCTTGCTTCCTTCAACATCTAACATAGCAAGATTTTGAGCTAATAACCAGGGAAAGACAAAAATCAAATGTCTTGTTATAAAGAATCTCATATCTCCATAAGAAGGCAGATCGCCCAAAGGGAAATGGAAGGGGAATAAGGGCAGGGCCCAAAAGAAAAACACCTTGCAGTTCTCACTGGGTCCTGGCTGACCCAGACTTCTTCCATTCCTTATCTTGAAGCTTCTTCCTCTGGATTTTCCCTGTGGCAGTTTTTGGCAGGTCCAAGACAAACTCTATCTGTTGGGAAAAATCAGTCCAAGGTTGGCCATCCATGACCTCAATAGGGTTGAGAAATTTCTCTAGGTTAAGGGGAAGCTCTTGACATTGGAGGCTTCAGGTGACTGACTACTGAGCCTGGAAAACTCCTGGGGAGTCTCCTGTGCAAAAAAAGAAGGTTCAGAAAGTGCTCTTGGACAAGAAAAGAAGAAACTGATCAGAATAGGACATAAAAGTCAATCAACTGGTCTCTGACACACTCTGAGACAGAGAGAAGCAGGGCAGTGTACTGACATGACGGAGTAGTCAGACACTTGGAGCTTTGACATCAGACTCTGAGCTCTATTCTCTTCTATGCCATTTACCTGGTTTTGAACAGTCACTAGGCTTTTTTGAGACTCAGTTTCCCCACTGAGTAAATTAGAAAATAACAGCAACTTTGTTGAGTTTTTGTGAGAATAGGATGAGGTCATGCAGGCTTAGTTCTTGGCATGGGTAAATGCTCCAAAATATTAGCTGTGGTTATGAGCCTAGACTAGAGACAATATCAGCTAAGAGTTAGGAAGCCTGGTTTTGAATTTCATCTCCATTATTTCATGTTGGTATGTCCTTGGCAAAACTAAAAAAAAAACCTCTCCAATTTTACCTTTCTCACCTGTGGGAATGAATGTTTGATGTTGAGGACCCTTCCATCTCTAATATTCTTGAATCCGAAGATATGGGTAACAAGGAGAACTCACTGAGGCTTCTGGTTATATGACCTAGCTTGCCAGGGCATTGCTGTAGAAGTCAGATGATTTTGAGTTCAAGATGAAGAAAATTATAACATTGGGGTACATAGGTTCTTTTGAACCCCAGTGTTTATAGCAGCACAACTTACAATAGCTAAGTGCTGGAAGCAACCTGAGTGCCCATCAGTAAATGAATGGATCAAAAACATTTACACAATGGACTGCTACACAGCAGAAAGAAAGAAGGAGCTTCTACCCTTTGCAACAGCACAGATGGGACTGGAGAACATTATACTAAGTGAAATAAGCCAGGCAGTGAAAGACAAATACGATATGCTCCCACCTTTAAGTGGACCCTAATCAACAAAACAAGCAAGCAAGCAAAATATAACCAGAGACACTGAAATAAAAAACAAACTGACAGTAAGTAACCAGAGGAACGTGGTAAGGGATAATGGGGGTAAAAGAGGGAAGGATTTTCAGAAACAACTCTAAAGGACACATGGGCAAAACCAAGGTGGGTGGAATCAGGGGAAGGAAGCTGGGGTACGGGAGAGTGGAGGGGGAGAAAGGCAGAAAACTGCACTTGAACAACAATAAAATTAAAACAAAATAAAAATAAATAAAATATTTTTTAAAATTTAAAAAATAAAGAAATTCAATAACAATAGGGATACTGACATGGAAAAATGATCTTCTTAGCAGCATCCTTGCCATGAGGCAAGATGAAAGAGTTTATTAAAATCATAGTGGGATAGAGCAGGGGAGTTGGGAAACTAGCTTGTGGGCAAAATCCAGTTCTTCTCCTGTTTTTGTAAATAAAATGTTGTTGAGACAATAGCTATGCCTATTCATTTACAATTGTTGCTGGCTACTTTCTCATTGCAAGGCAGATCTGAGTAGTTGCCACAAAGACAGTGTGACCTAAAATATATACTCTTTGGCCCTTGGGTATAGATAGAGAGTAGAAGTAAACCACAGCGGAGATTTAGATGTAATGCTTAGAAGAAAACAACTATGCATATCATGAGGAAGGGAGCAAAAATGTGTGGTTCCTGGGAATAACCTGATATACAGGTCATTCTAGAAGGGAGACTTGTAAAAAGAGACACATGAGTAATAATACACTATTACACTGTGTGATAGGACTTCTCTACTGGATCTTCAGAAATATTCAGTTATAACTCAAAATTCATACTCTTGCTGTGATTGGTTTTCTAGTCTCTTTAAGATACTTATTAAAATCTTATTAAGGTACCTTATGCCTTACAAATGTTAACTGTTTTTTTAACAACCTGTGAAGGAGTAACACCATAATCTCCATCATACAGATAAGAAAACCGAGGCCCAGAGTGATTGCTAAGTGAATCAGTCTATTTCAAAAGACTGCTAGACTTACTCACTATCAGTTTGAGGCTGAAGTCTGTGTGATGGACTCTTTCATGTCCTTCCCAGAGCCCCCCCCCCCCACACACTGTAGTAATGAAAGACTCACTCACCCAATGCCAGACCTCTTTGGGGAGTGCAGCCACTATGATGAGCTGTCTCTCCCATAGCCACACCCCATTACAGGGCAGGCTGGATCCATGCCTCACCTACATAAGCTGTAAAGACCCTCCTCCTTGCTGTTGCTTAGGAAACTCTGAAAGGTTGTCCTAGTTTCAAAACTCCCCATGTAGTTGAATGAAGCCCCCACTGAACTACATCACAGTGAAACTTTACCTTCTGCCCAGTGCTGCTCCTTTCCTCCCCTTTCCTCCCCTTCCCTCCCCTTTAATTCCAAAGAACTCCAAAATAAACCTCTTGCATGTTAATCTCCTTCCCAGAGTCTGCTTCTCAGAAACCCACCAGTGTCAAATAGCTTGTGCTGACAAATTGTCAGTGAGTATCTGGGTTACATGAGAATCTGAGGTGTTTTAGGCTTAATGTGGTTGCTCTCACCTTCTACTGAAAGAAAAGAAAAGAAAGAAAATAAAGGAAGAAAGAAAGAAAAAAGAAAGAAAGAAAGAAAGAAAGAAAGAGAAAAAAAACAAGAAAAGAAGGAAAGAGAGGGAAGGAAGGAAGGAAGGAAGGGAGGAAGGAAGGAAGGAAGGAAGGAAGGAAGGAAGGAAGGAAGGAAGGAAGGAAGGAAGGGGAGAAAGAAAAGGAAAATAAAAGAAAAGAAAAGAAAGAAAAGAAAAGAAAAGAAGAGGAGAGAAGAGGATAGGAGGGGAGGGGAGGGGAGGGGAGGGGAGGGGAGGGCAGGGGAGGGGAGGGGAGGGGAGGGCAGGGGAGGGGAGGGGAGAGAAAAGGAAAGGAAAGGAAAGGAAAGGAAAGGAAAGGAAAGGAAAGGAAAGGAAAGGAAAGGAAAGGAAAGGAAAAAAGAAAGAACTCTTTCCTTGGGGTAAACTCCTATCCTGTACCCAACTCCAAAAACTGGGTCCCTCTTCCATGTCCACCTCTATGCCTTTGTTCCCCACCCCACAGTGAAAATAGCTGAAATATATGTAATAGATTCTATGATTTTTATCTTTTCTGATAACAGTGCTTGCATTTTCCTACAGGGAGCCACCCTTCCCACACTCAGTCCATGTCCTGGATTTATGGCAGCCCTTTCTCCCATCTTCCTGCATTCTCTCCAGGAGTGATCATATAACCCAGAACTGGACAATCAGAGTGTTTCATCCCTTGGTTACAGAGACTGGTTTAACAATGGACACATGACCTAAAGTGATCCAGTGAGAATCAACTTGAAGATTTTCTGGCACCTTTGAAGGAAAAGCTGTTTTTTTTTTTCCCACTAGGATTTGCTTAGCTGCCAAAAAATATATGTTTAGAGCTATTGGGGGCCATCACAAAGAGAGAACACTTCAAGAAATGAAGCCAGTACAGAAAGGAGAGTCAAGGTGTGAAGGAGCCATTCTTCATCACATCATTTGAATACTAAGGCTTCATCCATTCTGGACTTAACAATTGTGTGAGCAAGGGACTTTAACTTGGATTATTGCCCCTTGCAGCTGAGAGAATCCTGAGTAATATTGCAAGACCTTGGTACAGACAGTGGGAATATAAGCCTGATACTGGCTAGAAGTTGTTCTTATGGGAGTGTCTGATTTTCAAGGAGAGTAAGCTGAATGTTGAGGCCAAATTTCAAGCATCTATAATAGTTGCTGGGTTGTAGTTTGGGGCTTTCTTGGTCATAAGCAGGCAGAACTTTGAAATTAGAGTCCTCATCTACAATCAGAAAAGGGAAATATGAGAAGAGGTCATCTCTGCTTCTTCAAGTTTGGGGAACCTAGGGTCTCACCTTCCTTGGGTACTTGTACGGGGCTGTCACTGACTTCACATGCTGCTGCAGCTTCTTGGTGAGCTGGCCTGGATCATAGGACATAAACTGTGGTGCCAGGACCACAAATGCCTTCACCACCTGTGATGAGGATCAGGGTCAAGAGAGAAGGGATCAGAGTGATCATTGTCTCCTGGGATATGTTAAGTGTTAAGACTTCCATTACAACCACCACTTTTATATCCTCCCAATTGTACCTCCAGATATTTGGGGCCAGGGAAAGGGAGAAACGGGATAATAATGGTCAAAAGCCCAATTCTCTTTTAAATAGTTTATTGGGTGAGTGTGTAGGACTGTAGATTGAGACCTGGCTCACTTTATATGCCAGGGACAAGAGGGAATTATAGGGAGACACTAGATATAAGTGAAGAGAAAAAAAGAAATACTGAACACCATAAACCCAAATAATCTGTTTAACCTCTTCAAACCACAGTTTGCACATTTATATCCTATAAAATGGAAATCCAGTTGTCATACTCAATTCATGGGAAGTAGAATGAAATAATATACAGCTTGGCTTAGCTCTATTTTTGGCACAAAGAGTTTTCCCAGTAGACGGTCCTCTTTGAGTCCAATTTGCTTAGTGGATCCTATTATTTCTGTGGTGATATGTCCCATCCTTGACAGAGACATGATATTGTCAACTTGCACCCTGCAGAAATGTACTTGGACATTGACTCACACCTCTGCACCTTAGCTGTTCTCCACACATACACCAAACTCCATTAGATTTTATCTGGATCTTTTTCTATAGCCCTGGCATTACAAATGGTCCCTTATCTTCCTCATATTCTAAGTGTAATACCCATTGTTTAGGGGCTCTATCTCTTTGCTTAAATCCTTCCTCTATCCTCTGGTCAGGGATCAGATTCTGATTGATGTACCAATAATACTAGACTTTGTGAGGTGCTTGCTATGTGGCAGATCTTATTCTAAACACTACAAATTTTCATTGACTTAATTATCACAATAACTGCTCATCTTATAGATGGGAAACTGAGCCTCCAAGGCTAAGTAACTTGCCCAAGTTCACACAGCTAGTAAGGAGTAGGACAAAGATTTCAACTCAGGCTGTCTAGTCCTCTGAGTAACCATCATACTAAATGCCCTTGTTTCCCAAATCTGCCCTCCCCCAGGCTGCTACTCCCCATCACCTCTCCTCGTATGGGGTCTGGACTGCTGGTAACAGCTGCCTCCACCACAGCAGGGTGCTCCATCAGTGCATTCTCCACTTCCGTGGGTCCAATCCGGTACCTGTAGAAGAACTTGCCCTTCAGAGAAGACTGGACACAACCTTTAGGCAAGCCCCAAGGCCTAGAATCAGTCAGAATAAAGATCCAGATTACCCTTCTCATCCCAGAAACGAAGCTCACCCACTGGCGTTAATGATCTCATCTGCCCGCCCCATGTACTGGAAATATCCATCTTGATCCTTGATGGCCCGGTCTCCTGTGAGCCAAAAATCCCCTCGTATGTTGGCTGCTGTCTTCTCCAGATTATCCTGGTTACCACAGAAAGACAGTCATTATAACTAGAAAGCCTAAATCCTCTGTCCCAGGGCTTCTATGAACAGATGTGCAGGTTGTGCATTTTATAACTTGAACCTGTCAACCCCAGTCCCTAAATGGAACTGGATTTCCCCCATCCCTTATTTCAGTTATTCTTTCCAGGGCTTCTTCCCTGCTCCCCTTGTTCCAGTCTAAGGGATAATATTAATGCATTAATTCACCCATGGTCTAGGGCATTTTTCCTGACTGATTCCACCTTCCCTTCAATGGTCAGCCTAACTCCTGCTCCATTCCATTACACTGTTTAAAGAGACCAAAGTTTATTAAGCATTTTTCTAGGCTTTTTGTTAGATTAAAAAATTCTAGAAATATACCAGGAAGCCCCCAGGGCCCTGCTAATGTGCATATTTCTGCTATGGCTAGAACCCTCCATTGAACTGTGACACTTGTTTTTGAACAGTGAGAAGGTTTAAGGTTTACCCCTTGTTAGTGCATCTCTGTGTCTTGTTCAAGTACTGGAGTGTGGGCTCCCTGATGGATGCTCAGTCACTGGGTTTGAAGGTGGCATAAGGAGTTCATCAGCTAACTTCTTCATTTGGAAAATAAGGGTATTGAAGACCAGAGAGATCAAAACAAAATAGCCATTGTGAATGACAGAGGTGTGACCTAAAGTCAAATCTCTTGACCCTCACCTTGACTCTTTCTCCTGGTCACCATTCAGCCCCTGCTGGCATTATCTGTGGGCCATAAGCCACTCTGTTTTCCTGCACTGTCAAATGGGGAGAGTCCCATGCATTAGCTTCCTCGCTGGCATGTAAAAGTGAAATGGGACAGCACCCAGGAAGTACCTGTAGAAGTGTGTGGTGTGACTGTGCCCTCATCTCTTGGGCTCATTTTTCCTCATCTGTATAATGTGAATGATAATTTACATCTCCAGTAACTCTTTTCTTTTACATACTCTTATATAGCACTGTTCTAAGTATTTCACAATTATTAATACCTTTTGATAGCCATAGGAATGCTATGAGATATTATAATACACATTTTACAGATGAGAGACCTAAGGCATGAGAGATCAGTCACTTGCTCCCACAGTAAATAGTGGAGTAGGGTTGGGAGGATTAAATGAGTTTAATGTATGCAAAGTGCTTTAGGACTGTGCATATCATGTACTAAGCATACAATAAATGACATTAATTATTATTAGTGAATTTACTATTTGAACTGGATTTGAAAGAGTCTTGTAATCTCTGATTCACCATCCTCACCTCTAAAGTGAGGACTCAAGAATCATCTATTTCTAGCAATCCAAGCTTTGAAGATAGGAATGCCTCCAAATATATGGAGAAGCATCAGTGTGATGTCTAACATAGCTCTAAAGAGGATCAATGGCATGGAGTAGGGATATGATACTTGGTGGAGGCACAGGGCTGCCCTTTAGAGAATTCTGCCATATATAGTTCAGGGTCAATAAGCTTTCTGTCATGAAACATTTCTTGTGGGTGGAAAGATATATCTAAATAAAAATAATTCTTCGAATGAGATCTTAATGATAGGCTAAGGGTGGCAGGGTTGAACTGCCTGTCTTTTCTCTCGGAAAAGCACCAATTCTTATACACCGGGTACTCCTCGCCAATGCCTCTTGGAAAGTTCAGGAGTTGAGGCCCTTTCTCACCCATCTTAGAACCCAATGTTCCCACCAGGGAACAAAGGTAGAGGAGCACACATTTCTTACCACGTAGCCAGAGAAGATACCTATGGGCTTTATGGGTTTGATCCTGATGCCCAAGTCTCCTTCTGCACCAGGGGGCAGGACATAGCCCTTGTCATCTATGACCTGGAGGAGGAAGCAGATTGGAAGAATGATCAGAAGAATGATCTGGATAACAGGAAGTGTCTCGAATAGCAACATGGAAGAGCTGAGGTGGTCAAATGGACACCCTCTTGCTCCAGTGATGACTGCAAACAAGAAACAGACAGCACAGAAGCCAAGAGTTTGAAGCCCAGATCTCTAATTCATCTGCCTGGAATGGTTTAGGTGAAGCCTATATTGAGACTGAACCAAATGAACTTGGGAAACTTCTGGTTTTAGTAGCTCAGGAAATATAGCACTCTCCCATTGTCTTTGAGGCCCATGGACTCAGATATCAGACAGATCAAAACACAAATTGTGACTCTGCTACTTTACTTCTTGTCTATGAGCTACTTAAACTTTATTGAGGGGAACCGAAAAGAAACCGGAATTTTTTAAAAAAACAGTTGTGCATTTATTCTTTCATGTTTAAACTTTAGTCACCTTCAAAGTACTCTCCATTGGATGCAATACACCTATCAAGATGTTTTTGCCAAAGATAAAACCAGTTTTTGAACTCATCAATTTTTTTCATTTTTAATATATTTTATTGATTATGCTATCACAGTTGTCCCATTTTCTCTCTTTATTCCTCTCTACTCTGCACACACCCTCCCACCACATTCACCATGTTAGTTCATGTCCAAGGGTCATACATATAACTTCTTTGGCTTGTATATTTCCTATATTATTCTTAACCCCCCCCCCCTGTCTATTTTCTACCTACTATTTACCCTATTTATTTCCTGTACCTTTTTCCTCACTCTCCATGTCCCCTTCCCCACTGATAACCTTCCATGTGATCTCTATTTCTGTGAATCTGTTCCTGTTCTAGCTGTTTGCTTAGCTCACTTTTGTTTCTGCCTTTTTTAGGTTTGGTTGCTGACAGTAGTGAGTTTGTTGTCATTTTATTGTTCAAATTTTTTATCTTCTTTTTCAACTCCCTCTAACATTTCATATAATAAGGGCTTGGTGATGATGAACTCCTTTAATTTGACCTTATCTGGGAAGCACTTTATCTGGCCTTCCATTCCAAATGATAGCTTTGCTGGATAGAGTAATCTTGGATGTAGGCCCTTGCCTTTCATGACTTTGACTACTTCTTTCCAGCCCTTTCTTGCCTGCAAGTTTTCTTTTGAGAAATCAGCTGATAGTCTTATGGGAAGTCCTTTGTAAGTAAACTGTCTTCTTTCCTCTTGCTACTTTTAAGATTCTCTCTTTATCTTTAATCTTGGCTAATGTAATTATGATGTGCTTTGGTGTGTGCTTCCTTGGGTCCAACTTCTTTGAGACTGAGCTCCCTGGACTTCCTGGAAGTCTATTTCCTTGGCTAGATTGGGGAAGTTCTCCTTCATTAACTTTTCAAATAAGTTTTCAATTTCTTGCTCTTCCTCTTCTCCTTCTGGTGGCCCTATGATTTGGATGTTGGAATGTTTAAAGTTGTCCTGGGGATTCTTAAGCCTCTCCTCATTTTTTTGAATCTTATTTCTTCATTCTGTTCCAGTTGAATGTTTATTTTTTCTTTCTGCTCCAAATTGTTGATTTGAGTCCTGGTTTACTTCCCTTCACTGTTAGTTACCTTTATTTCACTTTGCATATCCTTCACTTTTTCCTCTATTTTACCACCATACTGAACCAACACTGTGAGCATACTGATTACTGGTGTTTTGAGCTGTGCATATGATAGGCTGGCTATCTCTTCATCACTTAGTTGTATTTTTTCTGGAGTTTTGATCTGTTCTTTCATTTGGGCCATTCTTTGTCTTGCCTAGCCTGTTACATAGTAAAGGGCAGAGCCTAAGGTATTCACCATGGCAACCCAATCTATGTTGCTGCATGTGGTGCTGTATGTGGAGGAACAATGAGGCCTTCTCAGCTCTCTGCCAGCTTTTAGTCCCCTCCACCACTACCCACAAGCAAATTGGGCCCTTCTGGTGCTCATTTCAAGGTGTGTGGTTTTGTGTACCTTCTAGGACCCTGTGGGTCTCTCCAACAAACTCTCCTGTGAGGCTGGGAGTTTTTCCTGACACCTCAACCCCCACAGCTTTTTACAGTCAGAAGCATTGAGGCTCTATTTCCCTGTACTGGAATCCTGGGTTTCTCACACTGACTTTCTCTCCAGTGATTCCTCCCAGTTTATTCACAAAAGAATGTGGTACTGCCCACTCCACCAGATTCTGTCTCACTTGTCCCAGTCTACCAGAAGCCACCTTGTTGTGAATCCTCCCCACTTGGCTGCCCATATCCACCCCTTTTAATGGTCTGGGTGAATGTTTTTCTTTAATTCCTGGCTGTCAGACTTCCATACAGTTTGATTTTCTGTCAGTTCTGTTTGTTTCTTGTTTTTAAATCTGTTGTCCTTCTTTGGGTTGTGCAAGGAGGCACAGTGTATTCACCTATGCCTTCATCTTGGCCAGAAGTTGTAAGTTTTCTCTGAACTCATCGATTTTGATGCCTTTCAGTGTTTTTGCTTTTTTTTGCTTCACCTCTTCTACTTTGTCAAAACATTTCCCTTTGAGGCCTTTTTTCATCCAGGGAAACAACAACAAAAAAGTCTCATGGGGTGAGATCAGGTGACTAGGGAGAGTGGGGCATGGGAGTTATGATGTTTTTGGCTAAAAAATGCTAACTATTCAGTGCAGTGTGGGCAAATGTGTTTGTAAATCATGAAATGGGCAAACATGTTAAAAAAGTCTTCAAAAAATTCACTGAAGCTGAATGTAGTCTCTCACAAAAATGCCATTTGGTACACTCTTACAGATGTTTCCCAGAACACTCACCTAGCAGGGGAAGCCTGTGCTACAAGGGACCCCCACCTTACAGAAGGCAATCCTGTTTTGGGAGGTCCTCCTCATATATCTCAATGCCTTCATCTGTGAAACTGAAATAATATCAGCCTATCTCACAGAACTGTTATCAGAAGGAAATAGAGTAGTACAAAAAGAGCTCCATAAAGTTACCACAGTTGGCTACCATAGTTAGAGCAGGCAATCATAGGTAACACTGAATATAAATTTTTATACTCTAGGTCTGCATATCTATACACAGAACCATAGATACACATACACAAATTCTATTTCTTGGAATTTAGCTTAAAGAAATAATAAAGGAAGGGAGCAAAATTTTAGCTACATCTTTTTTTTATAATTTCATGTTCTTAATATAAAAATTTCAAAGCAACTCAATGGGGGGATTAAAATCTATTAAACAAATGTCACTGGATATCTATAGAGAAAAATTGAGCATCAAACCCTACTTAAGGCAATACACAAAATGTACATAAATAAGAACCAGTTAAAAGGGTCTCCAAATATAAACATGCAAGCTAAAATCAAAAACCTTTAAAATAACAAATGGGGTTTTATCAAAACTATTATAATTTTCTCAAAAAAGACACTATTAGGGACAGAATTAGGCAAAATACATAGAAAATTGTTGCAAGGACTAGTATCCAGATTTATAAAAACCTCTACAACACAACAAACTGAGTCAAAAAATCAATAAAGTAGGTAAAAGTTTTACACAGAAAATTTTACAAAAGATGTTATGAAACACTATCTATGAATGGAAAATAAACACATGAGAAAATATTCAAAATCTTTAGTTATCAAGGAACTTAAAATTAAAACCAAGATTTGATATCTTTCATATCATTTAAATTAAAAAAATCAACAGTACCGAATGTTGTCTAAATTGTGTTGCAACTGGAAATTTCACACATTGTGGGTGAGAATGAAAAATGATACAATCACTTTGGAAAATATTGGAAGTTTCTTTTTACTTTATTGTATTTTATTTTATTTTTTAACCCATTTTTATTGTTCAAATACAGTTTTCTGCCTTTCCCCCCACCTCTCCCCACCACTCCAATCTTCCCCACCTCCCTCCCTTTTCCACCCACCTTGTTATTGTCCATGTGTCCTTTATAATTGTTCCTGCAAACCCTTCACTCCTTTCCCCTATAATCACCTCCCCTCTTCCCTCTGGTCACTGTCAGCCTGTTCTCAATTTCAATGTCTTTGGCCATACTTTGCTTGCTTGTTCATTTTGTTGATTAGGTTCCTGTTAAAGGTGAGATCATGTTGCTACAACATCTTCACTGTAGTGTTGTTTTTACCAGTGAATTTTTTAAAAATCATCTATTGATTTACAAAATGCATAAAGAGTGGTGGAAGCACAATATCAATTATTACATAGTCATTAAAAATCATGGCATTTGTCAGTATTAATTGACTCAGGAAGATGGTCACCCAAGATTATTCAACAATAAAAGTAAGTAAGAAGTTGCTGTGTCAAAATTTAGCCCTATTTTTGTTTTAAAAATGTATATATTTATTAGACTAACAAGCCAGCTAATTTGCTGGCTATTCAGAGTGTTTTTCTCTGCATGGTAAGAATATAAAAATTTCCCTTTTCTTTTCTTTCTTCTTTCCTTCCTCCCTACCTTTTCATGTTGTTTTAATATCTTTCTTTTCATTATTTTCCTAAATTAAAAATGTAATAAATGTTACTGAAAACTTTGTGTTTTCCCCCCTTTTCCCTCCCTCCTTAGTGTACCAAACAAACCTGCACATCGTAATGGGGAATCGCAGTCCCCAGGCAGCCAGGCTTGACTTTCATTGTCTTGGAAACTCTGCATGTGAGTCCCTGTGGGAAGAAGTAGACAGACGGGCAAACTTCAGGAGGGTTATGAGGTCACAGGAAAAAAAATGAGTAGAGCAGGTTCTGACACAGTCTGAAGATGTCTCACATTTGGTGATTCCCTTCCTCCCCTTCCCTGGGCTCTCCCCTGTACTGTAACCCCCACTGGAGGGGTTGCACTAAATTGTTTGCAAAGCAATCTGATTGACTACTCCCCAGGAAAAAGGAACTAACAACCACATTATAGTCTTTTTAAGGGGAACTATACTTTTTTAAGGGACCATGGACACCAAAAATTGTTTAAAACCATGTGGGATTAAATTACCTTCCATAAGAGGGCCAGTCCTGCTTGAATCCTGAAATAAATTCTCCTACAGAGATGCTGGTGTCCAAGGGAACATTTTCTAAAGATTCCCTTTAAAAAGCTGGATCCTCTCATGGCTGTATTGTCCTACCCCACATTTGCAAAGCTCCTCTATATCACAGCACTGCCATGAGCTCTCTTGGGAGTTCTGCAGTAGTACCGGGGACCATTAGCCATAGAAGGATGTAGAGTAAAAGAGTACAAGGAGGAGGAAGAAGAACCAAGAGTCACAAGTAAGAGGCACTGGGGCAATACTCCCCAGGTTGTTTTGATAAGTGGCACACTGATCTGCATTGTGCTCAAGTAGCCCCAAGAGTTCCAAGAAGATATATCAGCTGGTGAGGTGGGGGTCTAGTGGGTTCTTCCTCTATCCCTCACTTCAATATGAGCAGCTTAGTGTAGTGCCTTGTACATTTGATAAACTCAGATCTCTGCTAAAATGTTACCTCACTACAGGGGACTTTCCTGACCACCATTTTTGAAAATTCAGGCTTTCATCTCACCTCACCTCATCTCACTTATCTTTACTTTTCTCCACAGAAGTTCTCACTGTCTTCCATGTCATATATTTACTAGTTCATGTCTCTTTTCCCCACTTGCATGATAATGCAATCTCCATGAAAGCAGAAGTTTGACCTGTTTTATTCCCTGCTGAAATCCCACAGATAAATAAATATAACAGAATAAATAGCTCAGTAAATATTTACAGAATAAGCACATGATAAAAGGTAGCTCATTTTTTTTTATCAAAGAGACTTTTGAAGCCCACCAGGCTGAACAGCTTATAGTTCCCCCTAAGAGCTGATACCGTTTCTGTCTGGCCATAAAACTCTCGAATATCCAGTCCTGTCTGAGACTTCCAGCTCTTCAGAGTTTCTGGGAGGAGGGTCTCCCCTCCACTGAAGCAGTTCTGTAGATGTGGGAACTTGTAACTGAAGAAGAGAAGAGAAGTAATTGTTCCTCCCTTATCCTCCCAGAACCAAACTCTGCCCATGCCTAGATCTGAATTCTGGGTGCTTTGGCAATGATATTAATTTCATGGGACAACTCATATAAATGAGAATGTGTGTAAGTAAGGGAAGCAGGAGGAAGAACATTGCAATAGATCCAGAGGTTATTACCAACCCCCAAAACCCCATCACCTGGAAAGGTCCTGTTGTAGCAGCATTCAGTAAACAATGGGTGCTCCTACCAGGTTGTTGATTGGGTAGCTGGACAGCACCTGGAGAAAGAAAGCCAACTGAGACACTGATCACCAGGTCAAATGCTGAACTTACCAGTATGCATAGTGGTTATGAGCATGCACTGTGGCATCACAGTGTCTCGATTTAAATCCCACTTTCTTTGCTATGTCTATTTCAGGCCAAATCATCCTCAATTCTCATGTACCCTCAAGCCAAAAGTAACAGAGAAATGACCACTTATCATTATAGAGAAAAGGTCCAGGATTAATTTGGGACATTTTTGTCAAATAGAGCTGCTTATTCCTGGAAATTTAATGACTAGTTTTCATAAACATACCTTTAAGACACAGGTGGCAAACACAAGGCCCGAGGGTTTAATATGGCCTTCCATATTGTTTTATACAGTCTGGCACCTTGTTCCTACCCAACAGCAGTGCCGAGCTCCTTGCCCTTAGTTAAGGAGTAGTTACACTTACACAGTCCTAAAATTATATTCAGCCCTGTGAAGACAACCTCAAGGCTAATGTGGCCCCCGGTGAAAATGAGTTCGACACTCCTGCTTTAGGATTATGTAAACACCCAGTCACCAAGGGAAAGAGATCAATTGCTGTTGCAAATTGGCTGCATGTTTTGGTTAAGTCCTTTAATCTCCTGTGGCCAGCGTTATAATAGATTAATTTTTGGTAGAAAAGTGCTTTCAAAAGTTAAAAGTGCCTTATAGACATCCCAGAAGTGCTATTAAAATTTAGCTAGTACTGTCCTGGCCCAATGGCTTAGTTGGTTGGAGCGTCATCCCTTACACTAAAAGATTGCTGGTATGATCCCTGGTCTGGGCACATAAGGGAGGCAACTGATTGCTGTTTCTGTCTCTCTCTCTGTCTCTGTTTGTCTGTCTATCTCTCTCTCTTTCTCCTTTATTCCTCTCTCTCAAAAATCAATAAGCATATTCAATGAGAATAAAAAAGTATTTAGCTAGTACCAATACCTTCCAGATCCTGTGCTATCTCATTTAATGCTTGCATTAACCTCAGGGAGTTTGTATTATCATCCCCACTTTACAGAAGGGAAAATGGTGACTCAGAGGATTAAATAACTTGCCCAAGGTCACACAACCAGCCAGTAGTGGACCCAGAATCTGCAGCTGGTGCTCTTAGCAGTTATGTAACACCACTTTTGTCCCATGCTTTGCTTTGTACAGAATTTATTAAAGTATACAATTTATTAGAAAAATTACTTGACAAAAGGTCTAGAAAAATGATTAACATTAGTAAATCATGAAATTATTCCCTCTAAGTATTCTTGTTGAACTGGTATAACCTGTGAAAATAAGTCCATTTCCCTTATTGCCTTGCCTTACAGGAAGCTCAGTATGCAATTAACTATTTGTTGTCTTCCAAACTCTCATTAGTCTTCCCACTCCACAACTCATTAGTCTTCCCACTCCACAACTCCAATCTATAGTTTCCTAATAGATTTTATAATTTTATCTGTTTTCTTGTTTTTTTCTTCTCATGATACTTAACAGAAGCCACATCAAATCATGCTCAGAAAGAGGCAGAGTAAGAATTTGTTTAAATCAGTGACAGAATCATTTGAAGAGAATCATCTGAGAGAATGCAGACCATGACTGACTTTTTGACATTGAGGATGTCATTCTTGCTTCACTTTGCTCCTGAGGTGTCTGTTGCCAGCCAAACAGAAGTCTGGGTGGGCCCTGAACTTTTACAGAGATCTGAAGGCCCCAGAATGTCAATGGTCCAACTGTACATTACAAATATAGTTCAACATCAAGTGTGCTTTTGCAAACAAAATAAGTCCATTTCCAATGCTTTGTTTCTCCCAGGTCAAGACCATTTTTAGATTTTATTTAATGGCTTCCCTATCAAGTTCTACAGTAAAAAACCCTATTTATTCTTCAAAACTCCTCATAGATTATAGTCCCAAACTGGCAATAACCCTAATGTCCATCAACAACAGGATAGAAAAAAATTATGATTGATAGATACACAGAATGAAACACTACAGGATTTGAAAAGAGCAAACTTGTCATATGTGCAATAATAAGGAGAGTAATTAGTATAGAATATGTTGAGTGAAAGAAGCCTGACACAAAAGATTACATATTGGATGATTACACTTATATGAAGATCAAAAAGAGGCAAAATTAACATATAGTGATAGAGGTCAAAACAATGATTAATTTATGGAGTATAGACAATGGCATGAGGTGGCATGAGCACTTTCTGGAGTAATGGGAATGTATTATATCTCAATAAGGCTGTGGTTATATGGGTGTCTGTTATAGATTGAATGCTACATCCTCTGCCAGTCATATGTTGAAACCATAACCTTCTTGTGATGGTATCTGGAGGTGAGGCCTTTGGGAGATAATTTGGTTTAGATTAGGTCATAAGGGTGGGGTCCCTATGATGGGATTAGAGCTCTTATAAGAAGAAATCAGAGCTCACTTTCTCCATCATATGAGGACACAGAAGGAAGTCAGCTGTTTGTAAATCAGAAAGAGAAATGTTACCCTGATCTTAGACTCCTAGCCTCCAGATCTGTGAGGAAAAAAATGCCTGTTGTTTAAGCCTCCCAATCCAAGGTATTCTGTTATAGCATCCCAAACTGGCTAATACAGTGTACAATATAAATAAATTATTGAAAGCTGTATACTTAAAATAATTGTGTTCAATGCACTTTACCTTAAGTCTGTGCTATACTTCAAATAAAAAAAAATAAATGATACACACACACAACATCACCTCCAATAGTCCATCTATCTCTATAGATGGACTATATAGATAGGTCACCACCATCTATCTGATACTTGGCACCAGAACAATAGTCCATTAAATATGCATTGAGTGAACCAGTTACCCATGATGCCTGTCTCCTGATATATTCTTTTTATCTGTATATGGGTTTGTCTCCTTACCTGGACCATGAGCTCTATTAGACCAAGGATCATTTCCATCTTGCTTACTGAACACTATCTATAGGGCAAGGGTTAGTCAAAATTAGATGAGTCGAAAGAAACTGCAAACCATGGACTGACTCTGACCATTTGGTGTAAAGTGGATCCTCTCTTACCTTTAGAATTACCACTGGGTCAAACTTTGGCAAGAGATGGATAAATATGCATGCTCCTGATGTCCAGGGATCCAGAAATGAGCTCATGATGTTCACTACCCAACCTGTGTCTGATATGGTCCATATTAGGTCTGAGGCTTGCAGGCCTATCCATAGGCTGAGAAAAGAGAGGAAACACACATACATATATGTCAGTGCATGTTGGGGTGAGCAGAGCTTTAGCATGAGTGTGTATGCATGTGTAAGGGCAGATACGTGTGCTCAGGTGTGTGTGAACCTGAATGTTTGAATACATTTGTAAAAGTGTATGTAAGTATACAGTGGAGTTGTTCTCTATCCATATCTTTTGTTTCAAGAAGGGGAGAGCACTTTGAAAGTATAACCCTAGTGGACATGACTCAGCAGATAATTGGGTCTCATTTTCACTTTATCCCCAGAACATAGTACAGTTTTTGATATAGTAGTAACTAGTTAGGAAATGTCTACTATGTTTATGCATAAAAGACACTAGAAGTGATTATTCTAACAAGTAGCCTTGCTAAATTCAAGTTCATTTGAATAGACCACTGATTTTCTATTCATTTTATTATTTTTTCTTTTCTTTTCTTTTTGATTTGTTGTTCAAGTACAGTTTTCTGCATTTCTCTCCCACCCCTCTCCAGCAATCCAGCCCTCCACATCTCCCTCCCCTTTTTCCTCCCCCCACCTTGTTATTGTCCATGTGTCCTTTATAATTGTTCAGGCAAACCCTTCACATTTTCCCCCTGAAATTCACTCCCTTCTCCCCTCTGCTCACTGCCAGTCTGTACTCAATTTCAGTGTCTTTAGTTATATTTTGCTTGGTGGTGCATTTTGTTGATTAGATTCCTGTTAAAGGTAGGATCATACGGTATTTGTCTTTCATTGCCTGGCTTATTTCCCTTACCATGCTTTCCAGTTCCATTTATGCTTCACAAAGGGTAGGAGCTCTTTCTTTCTTTATGCTGCATATAATTCCATTGTGTAAATGTACCATAGTTTTTTGATCCATTCATTTACTGATGGGCACTTAGGTTGCTTCCAGTACTTGGCTACTGTAAATTGTGCTGCTATGAACATTGGGGTACATAGGTTCTTTTGGGTTGATGTTTCATTGTTCTTAGAATGTAATCTAAGCAGTGGAATTGCATGGTCAAAAGACAGTTCCATTTTTAGTTTTCTGAGGAAATTCTATACTGTTTTCCACAGTAGATTCATGAGTCTGCAATCCCACCAACAGTGCACTACTGTTTCCTTTTCCCCACATCCACTCCAACACTTGTTGTTTGTTGCTTTGATTATGATGGCCATTCTGACAGGTGTGGAGTGGTATCTCATTGTGGTATTAATTTGCATTTCTCTGATAGCTTGCAATATTGAACATCTTTTCATATATCTCTGGACCCTCTGTATGTCCTCCTTGGAGAAGTGTCTGTTCATGTCCTTTGCCCATTTTGTAATTGGGTTGCTTGTCTCCTTACAGTGGAGTCGTGTGAGTTCTTTATATATTTTGGAGATTAAACCCTTGTCTGAGGTATCATTGGCAAATATGTTTTCCAGTATGATTGGTTCTCTTTTCATTTTAATACTGTTTTCCTTATCCATGCAGAAGGTTTTTATTTTGATGAGATCTTATTTATATATTCTTTCCTTTATGTCCCTTGCTCTGGGGGACATATCAGTGAAAATATTGCTGTGTGGAATATCTGAGATTTTCCTGCCTATGTTCTCCTCTAGGACTTTAATGATGTCATGGCTTATATTTAAATCTTTTATCCACCTTGAATTATTTTTGTGTATGGTGTAAGCTGGTGCTCAACTTTCATTTTTTTTCATGTAGTTGTCCAGTTCTCCCAACACCATTTGTTGAAGAGGATATTTTTACTCCATTTTATGTTCCTGCCCCCTTTGTCAAATATTAATTGACCATAGAGACTAGGGTTTATTTCTGGGCTCTCTGTTCTGTTCCATTGGTTTATGTGTCTGTTTTTATGCAAGTACCAGGCTGTTTTGACTACAGTGGCCTTGTAATACAGTTTGATATCAGGTATTGTGATCCCTCCAACTTTGCTCTTCTTTCTCAAAATTGCAGCAGCTATTTGGGGTCATTTATGATTCCATATAAATTGTGGAAGTGTTTGTTCTATATCTGTGAAATATGTCATTGGTACTTCATTGGGTACTGCATTGAATCTAGAAATTGCTTTGGGTAGTATGAACTTTTGATGATGGTAATTCTTCTGATCCATGAACACAGTATATGTTTTCATTTGTTTGTGTCTTCCTTGATTTCTTTCTTCAGTGTTGTATAGTTTTCTGAATACAGGTCTTTCACCTCCTTGGTTAGGTTTATTCCTAGATATTTTATTTTTCTTGTTGTAATATCAAATGGGATTTTTTTTCCTGATTTCTGCTTCTGCTGTTTCACAGCAGAAATGCCTTTGTTGGTGCAGAGAAATGCCTTTGATTTCTGAATATTGACTTTGTATCCTGCTGTTTTGCCAAAATAATTTACTAGGTCAAACAGTTTTTTTGGTAGAGTCTGTAGGATTTTATATGTACACTATTATGACATCTGCAAACAATGACAGTTTTGTTTTCTCTTTCCCAATTTGGATGCTTTTTATTTCCTTTTCTTGTTAGATTGCTGTGGTTACACTTACAATACTATCTTGAATAGAAGTGGCAAAAGTGGACAACCTTGTTTCATTCCTGGTCCTAGTTGGACAGTTTTTAGTTTTTGCCCATTTAGTATGATGTTGACTGTGGGTCTCTCATATATGGCCTTCATTATGTTGAGAAATGCTCCCTCTATTTCCACTTTGTTGAGTGTTTTTATCATAAATGGGTGCTGAATCTTATCAAATACTTTCCCTGCATCTACTAATATGATCATGTGATTTTTGTCTTTGCTCTTGTTTATGTGATGTATTACATTTATTGATTTGTGAATATTGTACCACCCTTGCATCCCTGTGATGAATGCCACTTCATCATGGTGTATGATCCTTTTAATGTATTGCTGGATGTGATTTGCCAATATTTTGTTGAGGATTTTAGCATCTATGTTCATCAGTGATAGTGGCCTGAAGTTTTCTTTCCTTGTTGTGTCTTTATCTAGTTTTAAGATTAGGATAATGCTGCTTCATAAAAAGAGTTTGGAAGTCTTCCATCATTTTCTGTTTGTTTGTTTTGTTTTGTTCTGGAATAATCTGTGAAGGATAGGGGTTACCTCTTTCTTAAATGCTTTTGTAGAATTCTCCTGTGAAACTGCCTAGTCCAGGTCTTTTGTGTGTTGAGAGTTTTTGATTACTGCTTCAATTTTTTTCTGCTGTTATTGGTCTGTTCAGACTTTAGGTTACTTCTTCATTGAGTTTTGGAAAATTACATTTTTTTGAGAAATTTGTCCATTTCACCCAGGTTTTCAAATTTCTTGGCATATAGTTCTTTGTAGTAATTTCCTACAATCTTTTGTATTTCTGTGGTATCAGTTGTAATCTCTCTTCTTCCATTTCTGATTATGTTTATTTGGGTCCTCTCATTTTCTTGATGAGTCTCCGTAAAGGTTTGTCAATTTTATCTTTTCAAAGAACCAGCTCCTGCATTTATTGATTCTTAGAATTGTTCTTTTAGTCTCTAGATCATTTACTTCTGTACTGATCTTGGTTATTCCCTTTCTTCTTCTTGCTCTAGGCTTGGTTTGTTGTTTTTCCTGGAGTTCTTGTAGACATACGGTTAGGTTTTTTAATTGAAATGTTTCTATTTTTTTTAGGTAGGCCTTATCACTATGAACTTTCCTCTCAGTACTGCTTTTGCTATGTTCCATAAATTTTGGATTGTTGTGAGTTCATTTTCATTTGTTTCCAGAAACTTTCTGATGTCTTCCTTGATCTCATTCTTGACCCATTCATTGTTTAATAGAATGCTATTCAATCTCCACTAGTTTGAGTGTTTTTTTTTCCCTTGAGGTTTGTTTCTAGTTTCAATCCCTTGTGGTAGGAAAAAATGCTTGATATGATTTAAATTTTCTTGAATTTATTGAGGCTTGTTTTGTGTCCTGTCATGTGGTCTATCTTTGAAAATATTGCATGTGCATTTGAAAAAAATGTGTATTTAGCTTCTTTGTGATGAAAGTCTCTCTCTCTCAATCTCTCTCTCTATATATATCTATATCTATATCTATATATAAATATATATATTTTTTTCATGTTGATATATTTTGCAGTGAGTTCCTTGTAGTTCCCCTGTAGTTTTTGGTAATTCTTTGTGAGCTCATTGAGCTTCCTTATAATCATTATTTTGAATTCAATATCTGATAGTTGACTCACCTCTATTTCATTTAGCATTCTTTCTGAGGTTCCTTCTTTTCTTTCATTTGGGGATTGTTTCCCATATATATATATATAGTCAGGGAAGTTAATTTGATCTAGGATCTTTTTCAGTGCTGCAATACCTCTGTTGATATTTTGTTTGGAAGACTTACCCATTTTGACAGTGGGGTGTTGAAATCCCGTAATATAATTGTGTTGCTGTCAATATCTTTTTTGGAGTCCTCCAATATTTTCTTTATATATTTGGATGCTCCTATGTTGGGTGCATATATATTTACAATGTTTATGTCTTCTTGGTGGATTCTTCCCTTGAGTATTATGAAGTGACATTCTGGGTCTCTTTTTATGGCCCTTTTTTTGAAGTCTATGTTGTCTGATATGAGTATTGCTACCCCGGCTTTTTTTTTTCCTGTCCATTTGCTTGGAATATTTTTTCCAACCTTTCATTTTCAGTCTGTGTAGGTCTATTGTTCTGAGGTGTGTCTCTTGTAGGGAGCTTATGTGTGGTTAATGGTTTCTTATCCATTCAGCTATTCTATGTCATTTGATTGGGGCTTTTAATCCATTTATGTTTAAGGTTATTATTGATTAGGTACTTATTCATTGACTTTTTTTGTACCTGTGTTCCCCTCTCTCTCACTCTTTTCCTTCCTTTTCTTAAAGCAGTCCCTTTAGTATCTCTTGCAGAGTTGATTTTGTGGACGTGTATTCTTTTAGACTTCTTTTGTCCGGGGAGCACCTTATTTTGGCCTTTCATCTTAATTGAGAGCCTTGCTGGGTAATGTAGCCTTGATTGCAGACCTCTGGTTCTCATTACTTGGAATATTTCTTATCATTCTCTTCTGGCCTGGAGCATTTCCATTGAGAAGTCAGCTGCTAGCCTTATCGGGGCTCTCTTGTATATTACTTCCTGTTTCTCCCTTGCTGTTTTTAAGATTCTCTCTTTGTCTTAGAATTTTGCCATTTTAATAATGATGTGTCTTCAATGGGCTTCTTTGGGTTCCTCTTGATTTGGACTCTCTGTGTTTCCTGGACTTGTGTCACTTTTTTGCTCATCAAAGTAGGGAAGTTTTCCATCTTTACTTTTCCAAACAAGTTTTCTATCCCTTGTTCTTCTACTTCTCCTCTGGTATCCATAGTATATGGGTATTATTATGTTTCATGTTTTTCTGCATTTCCCTTAACCCTTCTTCACTCTTTCTGATTCTCTTTTTCCTTTCTTGCTCTTTCTGGGTGTTTTTTTTTCCTACCTTGTCCTCCAGCTAGCCAATCCTATCCTTTGCTTCATTGATCCGGCTTTTGATTCCTTCTACTGTGTTCTTCAGTTCAGAAGTTGTATTCTTCATTTTGTCTTGGCCCTTGTTGATAGTTTCTAAATCCTTTTTCATGTTGATATATTTTGCAGTGAGTTCCTTGTAGTTTCCCTGTAGTTTTTGGTAATTCTTTGTGAGCTCATTGAGCTTCCTTATAACCATTATTTTGAATTCAATATCTGATAGTTGACTCACCTCTATTTCATTTAGCATTCTTTCTGAGGTTCCTTCTTTTCTTTCATTTGGGGATTGTTTCTTTGTCTTCCCATTGTTTGTGAGACTCTTCTTCCTAGCTTCTGCTTTGTAAATTGATCTGTTCTGGCTCTCTGGGTTTATGGTGTGAACTTTTATGGTAGAAGATCTGTGAGATTCAGTGGTGCAGTCTCCTTAATCTCCTGAGGTCACTGGTCTTGGGCTGTCATTTATGTTAGCTTTCTGTATGTCTTTGTGCTTTGATTGTTGTTGGGTCTTTCTTTGGTGGGTCTTTCCCTCTCACTGGTTAACTGAGGATCACTCCATCCATGACATCTTTTATTCTGTTGTTCAAGTGTGGACAGGTTGTGTTGAAGCTGATTCTTCTGTGTGTACAAGATTTTGGGTCTTCTCTCTCACTCTAGTTCAGTTGTTTGTTCTGGATAATTTCTTCATGATTTAGTTGTATTTCCAGATCAGTTCTAAGTTGAGGTTAGTGTGGCTTCCACTCCTTCCTTCGCCTTCTTCTGTTGTTTTCTCTTGGTGGTTCCTCTGTGGATTTCCTCTTCTAGCAGGTGTACTGATGTTCACAGCTCCCACCTACTTGTCTGATTTTTCAATGCCCTCTAGAATTTTTTGTCTCTAATCTTCATGTATGCTGGGATATCTTTGGCTGTTTGTGCTGTTCCTCAGAAGATCGGTTGTGTGTTTCACCCATGTGCAAGATGAAGTGGGGTCTGCTCACACCTATCTTGCTGCCATCTTCCTACCCTGGTTTTCTATCCTGAAGCATCACAAATTGCCTTATTTCATTTCTCTTTTGGGGAAAGAATAAAAGGTATTAGGCCAATTTTTCCTTTTTATTGAACTTAATGGATGACACTTGTTAACAAAATTTTACAGGTTTCAGGGGCACAATTCTACAATACATCATCAGTATATTATCTTGTGTGTTCACCACCACAAGTCAGGTCTCAGTCCATGTCATTTATCACCCCCATACCTTACTCCACCTCCCTCCACCCCTCCCCTTGGCAGTCACCACACTGTTGTCTGTGTCCAGGAGATTTTTCTCTTTCTCTTTTTTGCTTAATCCCTTCACTCTCAGAAGTTCTCTCCTTTGCCAATAGCCATCAGCCTATTAGGCTTATCTCAAAGCAAGAATGATTTAGGCTAAACATGAAGAAATTCCTTGTGTCTGGGAATCATTATAATATGTGTCCCTTGCTTAAGATGATTTATAGTTTAACTGCTATAAGAGAATTAGGTCATAGCCTATTAGAAACAAATTTAGAGGTTGGGGTGGGAATTTATATCTTAGTTATATTTAAGTGATTTGCCTTATGATATTTTAGAACCTGTATTTTACTATAGCTTTTCTATTCAATTGCTTCTGTTAAATAATTAAATTTTATGTTAACATGGATTCATGCATAGGATATTTAGGTTTTTGAGGTTTGTTTTTGCATTAAGATATTTTTCCAGTTCTTATAATAACATGAACATAGTAAGCAGGATCTACTGAAAAATCCCCTGAGGATCTCTTGTTACAATTGCAAGACAACATTGACACAGTATTTTTTTGATTCCACTGATGGGGTTGATGTAGAGCAGAAGGAAATTCTGAATTTTGACATCTGAGATCTCATTTCATCTATTTAATCCAATTATAGCTCCCACTTCAATGAATTTGAAAAGTAATTTTCTGCTGACAAAAGTGCCCTTGTGGAATGTGAGCAGTGGGGAAACAAATTACCAGCACCTCAAAGGACAACAAAGATATGGATCAGTATGGGGTGAAATTGCATATAAATCTTGTGTTAGTCAAACTAGTAGACATGTAGCTCAAAGCCCTGAAGAGGTTTTGAGGTTTCATGTTATCAAAAACAGAAATGTCACATTGAAGGTCACTGGATACCAAGTATGCTGATGTATGCTCCCTCTTACCCCACTTCCCAAATGTCTTTTTCAGAAGTACCAGGTTGAAGCCAATCTCAGGAGAACTGGGTTTGAGTTCAAAAAGTCTCAAGGCATGGCCATGTAATAGTCTGTAGAGAGAAAGGGGTCTTCTTACCCAGCATCCATCTTGGCCTTGATGCCCAGGCTTGCATGGGAATGTTCTGCCATTTTGGGAAGGCCTGTGGTCCCACTGGTGAAGTAGATAGCAGCTGCTTCTTGGCTTCCTGTCTCCACACGTTGATGAGTGGTAGATGCTCCTCTGACAGAGACAGAGTGTCACTTTCTCAGATCTGTGCTGGTACCAGATGTCCTGGTGGCCCATCTTTTCCACCTTCCCTTATGCTAGTAAGGGCAAGTCAGCCAACCCACTCCAGAAAGGAGGCTTATAAATGGTTAAGATCATGAGATTCTGAGTCACTCAGACTTGGGCTTAAAAGCTACTCGGATTTGATACTTTATTAACTATGTAACTTTGGACTACTTATTTAAGACCTCTGGGTCTCACTTTATATATCTATAAAATAGGATGAGGAAGTTAACTATAACACAAAGGAAACACATGATTTGCTTAGCAAGAATCCAATCAAAGCTCATTTCATTATTTAGATCCCTAACACAACACTAGATGAAGAGGAGGTGATCAATGAATCCCTTGAAGCATTTGCACCTCTCTCAGCATCACCTCTAGTGTCCTGATTTCAAGTCTCTTGGAGTTGGTCTCATGTCTGTTTCTCTGACAGTTATCTTAAACACCATGCCATTAGAAAGAAAAAGTTTATGTTCACTCTAGGAGTTTCCTAATGTATGTGTCTCTAGTGGAGGGATTTCAGACATGTGACAGAAAACTAATTCCTCCAACTCACGCTGTCATGGACTACAGGAAAAAAATCTTTTTTAATGACTCAGAGGATGGGGAGAGGTGCCTGGAAACTCAGTATATCAGCCATCTCTTGTTTTACCTCATATGCTCTTAGCCTCACTTCTGATTCCATCCATTGAGCAGTCTGGGTGAGTTTCAACCCACTTCATGTTTTTAATAGTGTGGACCATGGGTGATTCTCTGTAAGCCTGAGGCTTCTCTGTTGTTGCCATGGCATGGAACTCTGGGTCCACTCTGCATGCATGTTTGTAGACAAGAAGTGAGGGGTAGATAATATCTCCTGCTTCAGTAATGCTCTAGCATTGGGAATCAGGCACTTCTCAGTTCTTTCAGGAACAATTCTGAAAGGCATTCTCTGTGCTATCAGAAGGTCCCACTTATTCCCTGCAGTAACTCTTGTCATATTAATCTTTTCTTCTTCCCTCCATAGTCCCTTTCCACAGTCCCACACTCTACTCCCTGGACCTCCCAAATAAAGCATCTGCACATAAGTGTTTGGTTCAGTTTTCACTTCTGATGAAAATCTATACAGATACTCACTGTAATAATGTCTTGAATTCCAGCCACCCATCCTGACTTTTTTCAGACACTAGTATCTTTGTTTTCAGAGAAGGGCAGTCAGGTGCCACAGTGTCCACTGCCTGAGCCACTTCATCCCCAGCCACGATGGCCTTGGCCTTAGACACCTGAAGCCTGTAGAGTATGTCTTTGGCTCTAAGCTGGATAGTCCCAGGCATGAAGACAAGGCCTGAAAGTGAAATGGTTTAGAGATAACTGGAAGACCGTCTGCTTCCCTAGAGAAGTGTGATGTAGCAGCCAGTGGGTTCCAATGTGGAAAGGGAAGTTAGGGTAAGAAGTTTCAATAGTGACAGATGATTGACCAGAGAGTGATTTAAACACAGATTTCTCTGTATTGTCAGAGTTAAAAGGGGTCTGACAACACCCTCTCACCCTCCTGTGTGTGTGCACGTGTGCGCACACACACACACACACACACACACACTGTCTTTCAGGAATTTTCTGTATCCAAACACTTTCCTGTAGTAATTAAAACAAGAAGGAAGAACACTTGTAACTGTCTGTTTTACTGCAATACCATAGTGACCTAGCCAGGGACCCTAGATGCATTTTCTTAGGCTAGAGTGCCCTTAGCTTTTGTTTTCTATCTTGATGAGACTCCTGTGGTTTGTTTTGTTCTTTTGGAGAATAACAAGACTTGTTTCACTTTTTATGAAGCTGATTTTACATGTTCCTCTTGTTAAACAGCTTTACCTTTGGTTCACTTTCTTCCCACCCTCAACACTTTAGGATCCACACTGCAGACCTGGTGACTACCCTCAGATGTGTTACTATCATGGTAGCCCTACTGAATCTGAGTCTGATTTTCTTCAGACTATAATCTATCATAATATCACCTTTCTCTCATAGCCCATTCACTCTTTCCATAGGGCTTCAAGATCCTACTACCTCTGATTCCTCTTCCTTTTTGACCACATATATGTCCTCCTCCTTATCGGTGAGAATACCTGTTGTGTGTAAGGAAGACCATGAAGGTTGGAGTGTGCATAAGGATTGATGATGCTACAGTTTCCTGAGGCTCTTTTTTACACCTCTTCACTTATCACTTCTTGTATGTAAAGGTTGATAATTCTCAAATTTCTGTCTCCATCTCATATGTTGTGTCTTAAGTCCAACTTCTTCTCACTTTTTTCCATGAGTATTTTTATTGAGATATAATTGACATATAACATTGTACTAGTTTGAGGTATATATGTCAAATATCCATAGGTATATATATCACATATGTAAGATATATTAATTTGATATGTGTATACATTGTAAAATTATTACCACAAGTTAACAAAATTGCAATTTTTCTTTGTGATGAGAACTTTCATGATCTATTCTCTTTGAAACTTTCAAATATACAACACAGTATTGCTAACTATAGTCACCACGCTGTACATTACATCCTTATGATTTATATGTTTTATAACTGGAACTCTCTTCCCTCTTGAATATCAGTGGGTACTTCTGACTCAACAGTTACCAAATTGAACTTCTTATTTTTCATTGACATCCCATATCTGATTCATCCTGTGTTCCTCACTTCAGTGAAAGGCAGCCATGCCCACACAGTTACTCAAGCATCTGTGACTTCTTCAACCCCCTGGCTTTCTTCCTCTACCTTATGTCATCCACACACACACAAAAAGAAATAAACAACAACACAAAAAAACAAAACCCTGCTATCACTTTCCTCCTAATCATGTCTCAAATCTATCCACTTATCTCCATCTCCTTCACCCCATCCAAGGCAACATCATCCCTCCTCTCTTATCTGGGTTTCACACCCTGGCTTTTGCCCTCTTGATATCATTCTCTGTGCACTATTTACATTGACTTTTATAAAAAGCATATGATCATGCCACTCAGTTCACCCACAGTTTCCCATCCTTCATGGTATAAGGGTCCAGAACCCTTATCATGCCCCCCCAAGTTTCTGCCAGTTTACCATCTGACCATCTATTCAGGCACCTTTGCCACTATTTTCTCCTTGTTGCCTGGAGTCCAGGCACACAGATATCCTTTCAGGTTTCCTCATAATTTTCAAGCTTCCCTCCTCCCTTTGCTGTTTGCTCTGCTTGGAGCACTCCTCTATGCCTCCTTGCCTGGCCAAATTGAACTCATCCTGGTGTTTTCAGTCCAACTATCACTTCTGCTGAGATATCTGTGACCCCTGTAGGTCAATAAGTTCAGTATACTAGTGCAAAAGCAGGCATGGACAGTATGTAATCAGGGCATGGTTGTGTTCTAATAAAACTTTATTTACAAAAACAGGATGTAGGCAAGATTTTTAATAGGTTTTTATAAAATTTGCATGCCACTTATCAAAATTGTTATTAAATAATTATGCATACTTACACATCTTCCTCTAAAGATGTGTAAGTCCTATGAGTACACAGGCCATGTTGTGTTCACCCTGTACTAGTAACCTCTATCATGATGCTTAGTAGATAGTTTGCTTAAATAAATAGAAAGGTGGTTTCTACCCATGAGAAAGGAGAGCATGTTGTGTGAAGGGGGCATCTTTGGAGAGGAATGGTTGTATTTCTGCCACCAGTTTCTTTCACAACCTAGGTGGTGGATTACCAACCTGCTCGCATGCAGCCCAGAGTCACCAGCCACCACTCAGGAACTCGGGGCAGCACCACTGCCACACGGTCCCCACGCTGCAGGCCACATGCTCCCGAGAGTACATTGGCCACCTGTTGGCTGAGTTCACTCAGTTGACTGAAGTTCCACTTCACTTCATCGCCATCACCACTCACCCACCAGAGGGCTGGACCCAGGTGTCTATTGCCAGCCTTAAGAAAGAGAAGGCCAGAGACATTGAAATAAAGGACAAACTGACAGAAACCAAAGGGGAACAGAGAATGATATGTAGGGAAAGGTCTATCAAGTAACATGCATAAAGCACACATAGACAAAGCCAAAGGGGGTAGGTTTGAGGGTGGGAGGCAGGGCTGGGTGAGGTGGGGATAGTAGTTGGGTGAAAATAGAGACAATTGTACTTGAACAACAGTAAAAAAAAAGAAAAGAAAAGAAAGAGAAGACCTACTGTTTGGCGGGGGCTGGTGTGTAACTATGGGGAAAATTCCAAGTCTAAGAATTGCCATGACTATGCTTAGTATGCTTTTTGATCTCCAGACCCTTGTTCACTCTTCAAAGGTATTAAAAACCCCTACAGAGATTTTATTTATATGGATTCTCTCTAACAATATTTAAATTAGATTTTATAAAGTGATAATATTGCATATCAATTTGGTTGTGAATGGAAAAATGAGATAAACAATCATAAAGCATAAAGCTAAAATGGCCTTCCTGAACTTTCACAATACTGCTGTGAACTTTTTTTTTGCTTCTTAAAGAACAGTCGTGATACACAGTTGGATTGGTATTTCTTTCTCAGCTCTCATGCATTAAAAAATAAACTGCCAATGGAACTGGAGAGCATTATGCTAAGTGAAATAAACCAGATGGTGATCTCAACTATAAGTGGAACCTAATCAACAAAACAAACAAATGAGCAAATTGGAAACAGAGACTTGGAAATAAAGAACAAACTGACAGTGACCAGAAGGGAGGGAGGAGGGACATAATGAGGAAAAGAAGGGGAAGTTGCAAGCAAAAGACCATAAATAGAGGACTCCTGGGCAAAGACAATGGGGGAGATTGACTGTGAGAGTGGGGAAGTGACAGGATAGTGGTGAGCAATGGGGAAAAAGGTGTCACAACTGTAATTGAAACACAATAAGTTAAAAATAAAAAATAAACAAATGAATAAACCTCCAATACATAATTAATGCAAATAATGAAATTGAAAACAAAATCTGAGACCTTGTTCAGATTAATGCCAATTACTTGAATTGTACAGGTTCTTATAATTTATATTAAATTTTGGTCATCCTTAATATCTTCCTTTTTAAGCACCTTTAATCTAAAAATTATGATATAATTTGAATTTAGTCATTCTGTTTGTGTTTATAATTGTAAAGCCAGAAAACTTGTTTGAGGTTTCTACAATTTAGCCTGGAGGCAACTTGAATAAAGTTTTTAGTTAACTAATGAACAGTCACTATTAATATTAATTTACATATACTCATCAATCCCCAAAGGCTAGTTATTCAATTTTAATTTTCAAAACTAACTGGAAGTCATGGAAGTTGATAAATATGGAAAATAAGGCTAATATTATCATAGCATTTATATGTATTTATTTATTTATTCCAATTCTGTAATGAAGAAGTGTCTGAATAATTTCTCTCTGTAAGTAGTACATCTTTTATTACTATTAATGACTGAATCACAATATTTATAGGAAATTGGCCACTATTTAAGTAGTATCTTTATTTCCTTATAATTAAAATTCTGTTCATAATTATAATTGAAAGAGCCATTCATTATTCAGGAGTTAAAATGTAAAAAAATGTTAGGATTAAACAAAACAAAATGTTAAAAAAATACCATATGATCTCATCTATAAGTGAAAAGTAATCAACAAGACAAGTGAGAAAAATAGAACCGAAGATATGGAGATAAAGAAAAAACTGAAAGTGACCAGAGGGAAAGAAAGACAGGAATAATGGGAGAAAGAAAGGGAAAGGTCAAGTCAAGGAACTTGTATAAAAAATCCACAAAGACAATGGGGTGGGGAAGGCTGAAAGTGGAAGACAGGATGTGAGTATCGCAAAGGAGAGTAATGGGAGGGAAATGGGGACAACTGTATTTGAACAACAATAAAATGATTAAATAAAGAAAAAACATTTCCATCACTCTAAAAAATAAAAGGAAAAAATATTTACTGTTAGAAATTAAAACTGAGAAATTTTATAAATGTGTGCTTTAAAAAATAACAGTTATAAATCCATTATATATTACTATAGGAGACCATTCTGCATGGCATGAGCCCAGCTGCCACTTGGAGATACAAAGGACCCATGCCCATGGATAGGTTCTCCCATGGGGAATTGGGCCTGCATTGTACCTGGATTGCTATGAGACTTGCTTTTGCTAAAACTCCCTCACCCTGAACTGAGACAACAAGTTCTTACTGTAGCTTCCTAAAATCCATACTAAAACTCCCCAGTATGGAGTATAACCAGTTCAACCACATTTCCCTTTGCATTAGCAAATATCCTTCTGTGATGTGATTAAAGACATCCTCTCCTTTGTTTTCTGTAGAAGGTAACCGCCTAAAGTGAACTTGTGCATAATAAATGAGTAATGTAATGTGCCAAAAAAAGCAATAAAAGCTTGTCAAAGCAAGGGTTGGGGAGCTCTCCTCTTGAGAGAGTGGCCGAGGTGCTCCGAGGAGCTATCCCCTTGAGAGAGAAGCCATGCTGTCCCTTTTCCCCCACAGGACTTGGTAGTCCATGTGAATTTGTTGTGTCTCATCCATAATGCCGCGGACCCCACAAGCTGGGGTCTGCATCACCTGGTGCCCAGGAACAGGAATCCAGGACTACAAGCCAAACAACACACCAGCTTGGTTGGAGTATGTGCACATCTGCCCAGGTAAGAAGGGACTAACAACACCCAGTGCTTTTTCGTTAGGTCACGTGGTGTGTTGGATTTCGGAGGAAAATGGTTTTCTTCCTAGTCACTCTCTCTTGCGACTGCTTTGTGACTGTACCTTCTTTAGTAAGCAGGAGCCTTGCTCCCTCTCCTAAGTATTTGCTGCAACCTTGCGTGCAGGGGTGGAGTAGTTAAGAGACACAAGGGCACTTGCTGCAATGCTGTAAAAACACCCACAAGCCAATCCCCATGGCACAACATCCAACTAGGTCTAGGCTTGGGAGAAAGAGCAGAGATTTTCCTTTTAATCAACTTTAAAAACATCAACTAGTTACAGGACAATTTACAAGCATCTCAGCAAATTCTTTCTTTTAAGCTGCTTCTTGTGGTCCTTTCAGTTTTCCCTTTTCCCTCTGTCTGCCTGAATAAGTATTTAAAGGCACAGGTGGAAAAGGAGCAAAACTGAGATTGGTTTTGTAATCACTGTGCTTGCTGTGAGAGGAATTTCAGAAAAAGGTTCTTTTATTTGTTAAAAAAAATTCTTTCAAGTTTCCTGTGAATCCTCAGCCATGGGGAATGGGCTCTCTAAGGAACAAGAGCAATGTTTTAAGCTATTTCAGCATTTATGGGGCTGTTGAATGTCTCCAAGATAAGGAATCTCCAGACTTAGTTATTTAGGAAAAAGTTGGGCAGAAGTTGAAATAACACCAGGTGCGTGATAAGATTCTAAGGTTAGTGTCTCACTCCCTCCTTTAGAGGATTTAATTTGAAAATACTGGTTTGCTTGAATTTTGTTTTTGTTTTGAAAGGAATGGCTCATTCTCAAAATATTTTGCTGAATCTCTAGTAAATAGAATAAGATCTCTAATGTTGTTAGAGATCTTATGATATGTAAGGACTCTCTTATGATATATAAGGACTCTACTCAGAAAGAGTTTAAATTGATTGTTCAAAGAAGGAAAAAGATCTCACTTCACTCAGACAGTAAAAAGAGCAGGAAGAAAAACAATGAGAAAATGTGTCTTTTAACCACTCTGAATCTTCCTTATTGAGGTCCAGGGAATGCTTCAGTCCTCGGAAACAGCTGTGCTAAGATTATTATCCTCTGTCCTTCTTCTCCAGCCTCCCTGAAGTTGTCAAGGGCACTAGATAATGAGACAGCTCACTTTTGAGTACACTCAAGGAATACAGTAATCAATAAGAATTAAAAACAACAAGAAAAGTAAATGTATTTGCCAGTGGAGAAAAACCTTTTTCTGAAAGTTATGAATGTTTTCATAAATTTGTCAATCTAAAGCATGCTGTAAGTGGGATGAGGGTGTGTGACGTGTTAAAAAAATATTAAGAATCCTCCTTGTTTATGCCAAAGGTGTAACCCTTTATTGTAAAAATGAAATACAGGGGTACTGTCTCCTGGGGAGAATTAGCCCTTCTCCATGGAAGATTAAGTATCACTTTTTAACTCAGTACCTGTAAACACTGATCGTTTCCTTTGGGAAGAACTGGCTGTTCTCCCAGAGGGAATGGTTGGTGAGTCGAGTCACAAAAGGCCCTTAGTGTGTAACCATTTTTGTCTAAAACATATTTAAACAGAGCATCCCCCCATCTTTTCCACGTTCCTTGAAAACTCTGAACCTAGGAGCTACCAGGTCCTGAGAACAACAGGGCAATTAACTTGCTGCTCAAACTCATTGCAGCTTGCAGAAATAGCCAGGCATTCTGAAAACAATTTAATATTCCTTGCTCCCAAGCTAAGCATATTATTAAAGAATGTCCTGATTGCCAAGCCCTTAGCAAGGCACCCCCATCTACAGGAATTAATACTCGAAGACTAAGTTCTCAAATAATTTGGGAAACAGAAGTCACTCATTATGCTCAATTTGGAAAATTCAAATTCATTCATATTTCTATTGATACTTCCTCTGGTGCCCTACAAGCATCTACTTTAACAGGAGAATCTGCTAAAAATATACAAGCCCATTGGCTTGAGGCCTTTAGTCATTTAGGATGGCCTCAGCAAGTTAAAACTGATAATGGCCCTGGACACCTTGCCTATTCTACTCAGGTTTTTCTTCAGCATTGGAATATCTAACATAAAACAGGAATACCTTACAATCCAACAGGTTAGAAAATTGTAGAATGGGCTCATCATACTTTTAAAAATCTTCTTAAAAAACAGAAAAAGGGGGAGTCATGAGTCTTTCCCCCCAAATTTGATTATGTTAGCCATGTTTACATATAATTTTCTAAATTGTGATGAATCACGTTGTGATTCACTTTGGATTTATCAATCCAATTGAGAAATATTTTCAGACGAAAGAGCCAAATTCATCTTATCCTCAGGTTTTATATAGAGATTCCCTGGGAGATGGCTATTGGCAGAGCCCTGTAGATCTCTTAACTTGGTGGAAGAGGGTATGTGTGTGTTTCCATTCCTACAGGTCCTATCTGGCTATCAGCCAAAAGAGTAAAGCCTTATCATGAGTGGGATAGATGCTAAGCTCTGCTACCTTGATCCAAGAACCAATCGACTGAGAGACCAGATGGCCCAGCTGACCCTGAACAACCAGAAGGAAAATAAATACCCACAGCATCACTCATGGGACTGGGCTAACAACAGAGGAGAATGGGGTCTGCCCCAATGACAGGGCCCAAGGCTCAAGTGCCTCTTGCAGAGGGCAACAACCCCTCAGTGTCCCATAATGTTCCCTTTAGGTGTGTCCCCACCACATGGGGGGGACATTGAGGCTCTTAATGCTCAAGTAAAGGCCTTATCAAACAAAAAGTGTTCCAGACCCTCCACAATAATTTACAACAGCTGAACCCTAAAAACTGGTTCAATGGATGGAATTTATGAGTTTGGGTCATGGCATCCCTTGGATGCCTCCTTGTCTTAATTTTTATTTGTGCTTTATGATGTATATGGAGGTTGTTTTCTTGATATCGCATTCGGGAACAGCAAATAGTAGGTTTCATAGGCTTAACAGCTACAATTGCATTCACAAAAACAAAAAAAGGGGGATATTAGATGTTAGGGACCACCCTGCCTGGTTTCAGAAGCTGTAAACCCTCATGGCTAAGGGTGATTGAGAGACCTTGAGACCCTAATCTAATAAGGAGATGAAGCTTATCTCCCTGTCAGGAGCACTGCTTCTGCTCACTTTACTTCACCCTGCCAGACTCCCAGTTCATGTTTGGTTAATCAATGATGGGTAAGATTCCTCAAGGGAAGGATAATCTAAGACAAGCAGGATCATGAGGGGGCCCTCAGGGAAGGACTTGGGGGGCTATAGAAAAAGCAGGTGATGGACTCTCGCCCCTCAGCTTTGACATAGCCTGAGTCCTCATTCTGTGCAAGAAGTCTTCTAATCTCTTGGCTTCCTTACTTCCCCTGCTCCACCTAAGCCTGAAACAATGCAGGAGGTGGGTACAGCCCTATTCTGGAAAGGATGGATTCTCCTTGGCGATCAGACCTAAGAAAGAATGCATACAATCCTATGAAACCTGCTTTGCTAATACCCTCAATTTAAATGATAAGGGTCCAAGCCAGAAATGAGTTTGTTTCCCCAAAGATTTAAGGCCCTTTGGTTATCTGATCCTGACTCAAAATAGGCCCTCAGAGTTCTTTAAATATTATCTGTTTGATCATTACTGCCTGACAATGACTGATAGGCCTAATCTGAGAATTTTGGTCTTTGGAACCACTGGTTGCTTACTGATAACAATAATGCTCTGTGTACTTTGATGCATTTGCAAATTATTTTCCCAGGGTCCTGTGAGAGACCAGCCAGTAGCAAGCTTTGTGGGATCTATAGTGGTCCTAACTAAAAACAAAGGGGAAATATAGGAGACCATTCTGCATGGTGTGGGCCCAGCTCCCACTTGGAGATGCACAGGACTCATGCCCACAGATAGGTTCTCCCATGGGGAATCAGGCCTGTATTGTACCTAGACTGCTATGAGACTTGCTTTTGCTTAAACTCCCTCACCCTGAATTGAGGCAGCAAGTGCTTACTATAACTTCCTAAAGTCTGTGCTAACTCTCCCCAGTATGGAATGTAACCAGTTCAACCACTTTTCCCTTTGCATTTTCAAATATCCTTCTTCTGTGATGTTATTAGAGGCATCCTCTCCTTTGTTTTCTGTAGAAGGTAACTACCTAAAGTGAACCTGTGCATAATAAATGAGGACCATCATATAATATGTCCAAAAAAGCAATAAAAGCTTGTCAAAGCAAGGGTTGGGGAGCTCTCCTCTTGAGAGAGTGGCTGAGGTGCTCCGAGGAGCTATCCCCTTGAGAGAAAAGCTGTGCTTTCCCATTTCCCCCACTGGACTTGGTGGTCCATGTGAATTTGCTGTGTCTCAGCCATAATGCTGGGGATCCCATGAGTTGGGGTCATGTCATATTACCACAAATAAGATGTGGTTTAATAAGGAAGTATACTTTCTGAAACAACAAAAAATGAGAAGTGTCATTTTTTCACAATTTTGCAAGTCTCTTTAACGTCTTCTTTAATAAAAGACAAATTCTCTTTCTATCTCTGCATTCAGTTTTTGTTGTACCACCTGTCTAGCCTCTGAAAAAATGCTACTGCATACTTGTAAGAGAGTGACAATGAAAAAAGAAAGATAAATGTTATAGAAAGATCCATCTATCATATATATGGCAGATACACCTCTTCCCTTATCCATACCAAGAGGAATCCTTTCATGCTCCAGAAAGGCACAAAACCTCAGAGGGAAGGCAATAGCAGGGCCAGCAATAGACAGGATGGAGTTCTAGAAGTGTAGGATGGGAAGGGAAATAGAACTTTTCTCATCAATCTTTTTCTGATGCTTTATGTTGGAGTCCTTTTGACAGTCTCTTCCTAGTGACCATCCTGCTTGCTTACTCTTAATGACAGAAAAGACTGTTGATTCTCTCTTATTAAACCCAAATCTGCCTCCTCTATGACCCCCAACCCACTAGTCCTTTTCTCATCCTTGGAGATCATAACAGAGCATGTGAAGTATGTGTAGGCAGAGTGTGTGTCAGCTACCCAGGGACTTACCATATTTCTTCACCAGCACCAATTTCCCAGGCCCTTCTTTTTGCCCATCTCATGCTCTCTGGTTCCCACCCCATACTGCCTTCATGAGATATGAACCTCATAGCACATAATAGTACCTGACATGCAATGTGTTCAATATATTAAATATGGATTAATTAATAAACTCAGCACAACCTCCAAACTCTGTCTCTAATCCACCCCGTTACCTTCTCCATGCCAGCCCAGTAATCCATCACATCACTTGCAAAGTTAAACTTAGCAGGAACTTCCTGGTGGCCCCACTGCAGAGATGCAAGTTGCTTGGTATGAATGTGGACAGTGCGACAGGACATCTGAGTCCTCCATAGCATGCAAACCCCCTGTAATTTTTGTAGCCAATGCATAGTCAAACCTGTGAAGGAAAGATGACATGGAGGTGAATCTTTCCTATATAGACTGCTCTACTAGTCATCAGCTACTTACAGAGATTAACCCCAGCCTTACAAAGTTCTTCCAGAAATGAATTTGTCATGGTTATGAGTCAACTGGAACTCAGCATTTATTTCAGTCTGCCATGCCATTCTCCAAAAGTACAACACCCAGTCTTATATCCCACCTCTCTAGCACTTCTGACAGTTTTGTGAACACTCAGTTCCATGTTAAAAAAAAATCCCTTTATTCTTAAAATACAGTGGTAAGGTAGACTGAATTGTTATTCCCAACAATTTACCCCCTCCTTGTATTAGGATTATATATCCTCATTTATTTTCATGTGACTTGCCCAGGGTCTCTCACTGACTGTGCCTTGCCCATGAGATGTGAGTGGATGTGACTATGTGGTTCATCAGAAACCCTTGCATTTCTGCCCTCAATCATGAATATAGCATATCCCAGGTAGGTGCTCTAACTTTAGCCTGGTCCCAGAATCATAATACATGTGGAGTAGAGTCCAGTCTAGCATAGCCACAGCCCACTCACAGACCCATGGGGAAATATATGTGAGCTTCTAAGCTCCTGAGATGTTTGGATGTTGGTTACTACAGTAAATATTGACTAATACAATTAATATCTATTTCCTTCTATGAACCTAGAACACAGCAACTAATACACAGAATCACTTCAGAAATTATAACTGTTGTCATTGTTGCTTTCATCTATGTCTTGGCTCCAGGGACAGCAGTATCAAGGCTGTGTAGGCTGGCTCTGAGTACCAACATGTGTACCTTGATAGAGATGAAGAATTTAAGTCTAATGGTGTTTAATTTAAGGGATCCAGCCAGGAGTCTCACCAGTTGACTGGATGCCCATTTCCTATTGTCTGGTCAGCAACAGCCAGAATGCTCAAGGTCTCTGAAACTTGTGCATCCTCTCTTATATTCTGAAAGAACAGAAGTGTAAAATTTTTAGCAACTTCTAATCAAGAATATTTATTGCTTTTTTCCCTGCTGGTTTCTCTCTCTTTCCTTGACTGATTTTCTCATTCTTCAAGTCTCACCTCCTCATAAGGTCCTCCCTCCTCAACCATCACTCAATTCCCATCTCCCTTTGACTGGCCTTCTCCCAGACACCTCATTCTCTCCCTTTTGCCATGTTAAAGGCACATTCTCCTTTGCCCATTGCTGTCTCCTCAATAAGACCTGGCAGATACTTCTTTTCTAGAGCCCTACAGATTGCAGACTGGTGTTTCCTGAAGATTTTCACTCTCTTGGAGAGCGCTGGTTTCTAAGGACAGGTTTATGCTATTAAGAGGCATGATCCCATCACTCCACTCCCTGAAATGGTGCTCACCTGCCAAATCCTCTTAGGAAGTCTCTCTAAGATTTCTTGGTACACTCTTCTCCTGAGAAGACAGTTCCAGAATCCCTATAACCTTAGAGAGCACAGATTACCAGGCAGGCAGATCAAGAGTCCCTGGAAATTTCAGGGGAGACATAGCTAATCATTACCTGTGGACAGTCCCAGAACCTTACTTAGGATAGCATAAATCCTCCTAGCCAGGCATGGTGCAGAGTAAGCACTCAGTAAATCCTAGTGACTGCAGTTTAGAATGGGAGACTTGCATCTGGACTCAAATTCACTTTCATGGAATGAGCACTTAAAGTTATTGACTGTTTCTACTGATAATATGGGTGCAGCAGATTTGGGGAATGAGGGTCATGGTCCTGGAAACAGTAAGTAGGGTCCCACAAATAGAAATAAACTCAAGAAAAGTCGTTTGTCTTCCAAGAAATAGGGGCAAAATAACGCATGGGTACATTTGGTTTGAAAATGATAAGGGGCTCAAGTGTTGAAAAATTTTAGTTTAAGGTCAATAGTTATAAGCCTAGTAAGTAATGCATATATTAAAGCTATTGTTTCAGGAACTATAGATAAGACCCACCACTCCTGAGAGAGACAGCTGACCTCCTGGGGAACCACTAAAAATTACAAGATGCCTCCACTTGTTTCCCACCTGGGGAGCATCTGGGCCATTGTGCTCCATGGAGAGACAGATGACCACCTACCCCTGGGAACAGCTAATTGCCTAGGGTGAGAATGCTGCAGTTTTCTTTGATCTAATTTCTCCTGAATTTCAAAACCCCTCACTGTACCTTGTATATTTCCTGTTATAAAAATGCTAGCTTGAAAGAAAAATGTAAGATGGTCTGTTAGAATATGAAAATGCTGTCTTCTCAGAATGCCAGCCATCTGAATAAAGTGCCCATAAAGATTCAATCCCTGTCTCTGCTTATTGGGTTCAGTATGTGACAGGCAGAATGAATGCTGGTGTTTTCTGGCTTCAAAAACTCTAGAGCCAAGTTTCCCAGGATAGCCATGGAAAACTCTCTTCCCCTTGTCAATTAATCAATAGTCAATATGTACTTACTGCTGCTCTCAGGGGGACACAGAGGTGACCAAGACAGATCCTTCCCAGTCTGGGGCTGATACTGATGCAGACACCAGCCTGCAGTGTCCGCATCATTATGGATGAAATGAGATATTCACACAGACTACCGAGTCCTGTGAAGGAAAAGGCACAGCATGGCTGATCTCTCAAGGGAAGCAAAAGCCTTGGCCCTTGCCGTGACAGGCCTTTATTTCTCTTCTCTGCATATTACATGATGGTCCTCATTTACTATGCACAGGTTCTCTTTAGGTGGTTACCTTTTACAGAAGACAAAGGAGCCAATGCTGCTAATCACATCACAGAAGAGGGATATTTGCAAATGAAAAGGTAAAAGTGGTTGAACTGGTTACACTCATTCTTGGAAGGTTTAGCATGGATTTTAGGAAGTTATTTTGCAGTAAATGTCCTCAATTCAGGGTGAGGGAGTTTTTTAGCAAAAGCAAGACTCAAAGCAGCCTAGGCACACTGCAGGCCTGATTCCTCATGGGAGAACCTATACGTGGGTGTGGGTCCTGTGCATCTCCAAGTAGAAGCTGGGCCCACGCCACGCAGAATGGTCTCCTATAGGAGACAGCTAATAACATGTCAAATGATTAAGTTTATTTTAGATACTGTTAAGGGTAGTCAGAGGTCAGATCATATCACACTTCTGCTTAGCGGTCAGCAGTGAGTCCCAATTTCATGCAAAAAATAAAAAAAGGTCAAAATATTTACCACATCATCCAAGGTCTTACATTTTCTTAACACAGCCTCCTGTTCTCCCTAGCTGATTGTCCTCTTGTTTTACAGCTCACTCACTGCACATCAGCCCACTGGCCTTCTTCTGTTTCTAGAAGGCACAGCTTGTGTCAGTGCATTTACACTTGCTGATTTCTCAAAGCACTTTTCCCCAGATATCTATGGATAGCTCCCTTTCCTCCTTTAAATCTTTGCTAAAGATTTTTACCACTTTCTCAATGAAGCTTACCTTGATCACCTGGCAAATTATGACCCACCTCCTAACTGGTTCCCCGTCCCACATTACCCAGAACTATTTTCTCCCTAATACTCATCATTCTTTAACCTTATTTTTTGTTTCCATGTCCTTCCTTTAGAATCTAGTATGAGATCAGGACATTTTGCCTGTTTTGTTCATCAATTTAGTTCCAGAACCTAAAGGGATGTCCAACCTGTGGCCTGTGGGCCACATGCAGCCCAAGATGGCTGTGAATGTGGCCCAACACAAAAGTGTAACTTTACTTAAAACACTATGAGGTTGTTTTGTAATTATGTGTTGCAATGTATTTAATGTGTGGCCCAAGACAACTCTTCTTCCAGTGTGGCACGGAGATGTCAAAAGGTTGGACACCTGTGATTTTAGCAGGTGCTCAGTTAACATTTCAGTGAATGAATAAGGGTTTTGAAGTAAAACACAGGCTGAGGAAATGGGAAAAAAAATACAACACACACCCTGAGTAAGGCTGAGATGGGGAAGAGGAATAGCTCTAACCTAGATTTAAACTTAGATTTATAATGGACTAATCAATTTAATACCTGAAAATGAAGTGGCTTGAGAAGGAATAAAATTATAAAGAATCTGCCTAAGCATATACAGTCCCTTGAGTGGGGTAGAAAGAGTAGTTATAGTAGATCTAAATATCCAGTGGTAGAAGAAAAAATTATAAAGCTATTTTCTGACTGTAGTCAATATTTCCATGATTTTTGCCACAATGTGGTTAGGTAGAGCATCCTGAGATCCCCCAAAATATTCCTGGCATTGGGACATCCTGATCAGGGTACAATTTGTAGAAGAAATGATTTAAATTCTGAGTCACAAGTATAGTTGAGCCCTCAGGCCAGAAAGAGGCAAATAAAAGAAGAAAAGTGAGTCCAGTAAGGAAAAGAGACTGAAAAGGGAGGCAGGGGTCTTGGCAGGGTCTCAACTTGACAACAGAGGGAGGGAAGTCACAGAGAGAGGTTTCTAGGTCAAATTCCCCTGAGATTCAGTATTTCATCTGTTAAATGGAGATTCTAATACTTTCTTTTTTCCTTAGGGTTATATGAGAACTAGCTTAGATCAGATTCCCTAATGTGGGTTTGACAAGGTGATAGTTTTCATGTCCATGATTATTTTGATGTGCATTAGGAAAAAGTGAACAGAACTCTAGGCTCATCCCTAAATGACTATCATATTGCTTATGGGGAAGATACTTTATTTTAAAAATGAGCTGATTTGAATTTCGATCTAGATGGTGAATAGGTAAATGTAATACTAGTAATCCTCCCACAACCACATCAAAATTACAATGAAACTACAGAACAACCATCATTTGGAACCACCTGAAGACTAGCTAAACAGAATTCCCAAAACTTAGGATACAAAGAGGAAGCCACATTGAGATTGGAAGGAGGGGCAGAAACACAGAATGGTCTGGTCCCACACCCATGTGTGGTAGTTAAAAATCAGGAGAGATATCTTGGCTGTGGAGATCTCCACTGAGGAGTGAGGGTCCCAGTACCACACCAGGCTCCCAATCCAGTATTCCAGTGCCAGTAAGTCCCCATAACTTCTGGCTCTGAAAACCAGCAGGAATTGTGGCTGAGCGAGATGTAGTGTTTTTGGAGTCCCCGGCAGTTCCTTTTAAAGGGCTCCTCTGTATATACACTTACTCAGACTTACTTATTCTGAGTTCCAGAGCTGTGGAAGTAGCTCAAAAGGCACAAGGAATATAAGGGGAGGGACTAAATATATATATTGGGTGGGACCAGGCCTCAAAGAATCACGAGGGTGGGGCAAACAGTGTGAGCAAGGTTGATGAACTCAGATACGGTGCCAGCTCTGTTGCTCTGTAGGGAAAGGGTTCAGAAAAGGAATGGTGACCTTTGTCAGCACTTGTGTCTAGTAAAAAGCTGCTCCCTAGCTTTCACCTTGATGCAGGACAATTCACTTCCTCCCCATATTTCTCTGGTGCCTTTCATTGGCTGCCCGCCCCCCAATGAAAATCAGAAAGAATGAGTCTGAATAAGTCTGTGCATGGGATCTTTAAGAGGAATTGTCAGCAAGTCTAGCAGTTTCTGTTTTCTGCAGCATCAATTCCTGCTGGTTTTTATAACCAGAAGTTATGGCAATTTCTCTTTCTGACACTGGAACTTTAGACTGGGTTTTCTGGTGTACAACTGTGACCCTTTGCTCCTGAGATATCCCTCCCAATTTTTACCTACCACACATGGGTGTGGGGCCAGCCTGTTCCACATCTCTGCCCAACCTACCAGTCTTGATGTAGTTTCTTCTTTAACTCTGTAGTGTTAAGACTTTCATTCAGCTTGATTTCTGATGGTTCTGAATGATGGTTGTTCTATAGTTCAGTTGTAATTTTAATGCAGCTGTGCAAGGAGGCAAATTATGTTTATCTATGCCCCAAAGATGGAATTTATAAGCTAAAAGTGTATGGACAAATTTTTATGGCCCTAAAAATGATTATGAAATGTTTTTTTCAAAAGGTTCAAGTGGTTATACTCCCATTGTCATTGAATGAGCTTACAAGTGCCTTGAGGCTATGATGACCTCTCTTTCAGAGGGCCAACTGACAGCTCTCAAGCAGTAAGCTCCATAAATAGTTGCTGAAGATGCCTCCAGAATGGAAGTCAAGCCCTAAAACTTCTTTGTCTGGACAGTGGTTGAACACTCTGGGTCAGTGTTGCTTCTCTGCTCTCTTCCAGGATCATCCAGTGATTCAAGAGAGGCCCACTTGAAAACTGAAAACCTTTCATGTCAGTAGGGTAGAAGGAATGATGCTCCAAGTGGTGACTAACCATTGATCCCACCAATCAATCCCTCCTAGCACCAGTAGAGGCTTGTGGGATCTTTTGGGGGTTGCATCTCATCTCTCCACTCTTGGCTCCTCTATTTACTCCTTTGTATCTTTCCAGCAACCATCTGTGGCAATTCTGAAACAAAGGCCACATAGTGACCATAAAACAAACATCAAAATGCTTTGAAATTATCATTTCCCAGGAAGGCTTTTGGC